TACGTCTTCATATGTCTACCTGCCTCGCAGGCGCAACTTCGCAATAACAATGCCAAGGGTTTACACAAGTCTTTAATCATATAAATAGTTAAAAATCACCTTCTAAATGGAGCGCAGTTTAGTTACAGATCGGGGTCGCTAGGGAGAGAGGTTCATAAGAAAGAAGGAACACTGCACCAGGCCTACTAACCCATGCGAAGCAGGTCCATGTCCCCCCCGGATTAGCCCAATGACCCACCCAGTCTGGTCACCTCCACACAAGGAAGGAGCACGGCACCAGACCCAGCAGCACAAGCTAGTCAGGTCCAACTCACACCCACCCATACCCACTCGTATTTTTCTAATCTATTTTTAAAACTACACAACGTTTTAGCCTCAATAACTGTACTGGGGAGTTTCTTCCACTCATCCATAACTATTACCAAACAAGTGCTTTCCTATATCCTTCCTGAATCTGAATTTTTCCAACTTGAAACCATCGCTGCGAGTCCTGTCTTGGGTGAAAATTTTCAGCACATAACAGGGTACAAATGAAAATTCAAGAATGTGGAATATTACGCACTAAAAATAATTTTGTATAAAGCTTCGATATAGGAATTGAGCGATTGTAAATGATCGTACATTGTTAGATAGAAGATCTGTGTTACGTAGTTTAAGTTCTGGTAAACAAGTGCATGGAGTTCTCGATTCTCTCTAAATCTTCTAATATTCCATTATAATACTGTAATTATTGCTTTTACTAATATCCCAATATATACCGTTATGTTGCCGTATGACCCTTGTGGGTTTAGCGCTTAGATATGATTATAATTGTTAGGTGGTGGCTGTGGGCTAGTGGTCGGTCAAGTCAAAATGAAGTGATAGAGGCATGGTAGTGTATAGTGTTAAGTTTATTCAGGTATACATAAATACAGCTACATAGATTATCATACATAGCAGCATACGTGTAAAGAACCTAGGATAACCAAAAAAAAAAAAAGTCAGTGACTTGTTTCCATTGGGTACAAAAAATAAGGTTGTGTGTTTAGGGGATTGTGAAGCAGAGGGGATAAGTATCGAAAATACTGGAGTTGGTTGCTGATAAAACTAATATATTGTTCAAGTAGGAGTCAGTACATTAGTGACTCTGGTTAAGTTGAGGAACATCTGGATATTCCTTGTTTATTCCTCGTCGAGATTCCTTTCTAAACCCTTTCATACATAATGTTGATACGGCTTGAAATGTTTTGAAGTCTGTTAATAGGATAGTGTGGTGCAAGAGATGACAAAGGCTAAGAGAAAGCAGATATTGGCCGCTGTTAAGAAAAGCTGTTGCAAGGGGTCATTTTGAAATGGGGTCTGTGAGGGCAAAACTGACTGCTATTTCTGCGACTATTATAGATGTAGAATGGGGCTAGGAGTTTGGTATAATTAAAGAGTTGAAACTTGAAAGATCAGTCAAGATTTAATTTTTTAGTGAATATTGTTATCAATTGGACATACTGTAATTTTAACTGTATACTTAGGAGCAGACTCTAGACCCGCAGGCAACCTCACACTAACTTCTGCCATCAAAAACCCCGTCAGATGGTCACCCAATCTCACTAGAGGGTCTCTTGACACCTTATGACGGTTCTTTTTCCATCAAACCTTCTTTATTTCTGCTGCAGTATACGAAAATGTAGTTTACATGTACTGAAATAATGTTAAACACAAAACTCAATAGCGTGCTGTGCATTTCGGGTGGAGTGCTATAACAACCAGACCACTATGACAGGAGTGCTAGAAGAGGTGAATTATTTTCTCTTAGGTTAGTACAGAGGTGGATTTCTCACAAAAAAATTAAAAATTTTCCCTTAATTAGGCTGAAAATGGGAAGAGTAGGGGGTATTCAGGTTTGAACCTGAGGGAATAACTCCGGTTCCTTGGATCGAGCGCCCTTCATTTCGACAAGAAGCCCCCTTGAAGGGTAAAATAATATAGGTCCCTACAAGAAAACTGTCTACAAAGCCACTATTCATCATGACTGCCTGTAAAATGTATAAACTTTATTGTTCAAACTGTTCCACCTATACCAAATAGTGTAAGTTAATTTATCCTGTCTAGTAACAAATTCAAATTTATTTATTTCTTTGTAAGTAGTACATTAAGATTATGTATTTACAATAATGGGTTGCAGTGCAGAGAGAGCCTCTATTATGCCTAGGCATTATGGCCCGACTTAATTTATTGGCTTACTGACTACTTAACACTAAAGAAACTTATCATAGTTGTACAGTTGTGTAAATTACCTGGGTTAACCAGTCGCTACGAAGAAAAAGGTATGTAATATAGTAAATTATTATTATAATCAGGGGAAGCAGTAAACCCATAGGGGTCATATAGTGCATTGGGAATGGGAGGCAATCTGATTCGATCCAAGGTTGGAGAGGATAGGTACACTTCCTTGACCGTACTATCATACTTCAAACCACGACCCACCTCGGCTATTATGGTCCCTTGCCAATGATTTGTAGACTAGTTTCGTGTGGCCCATCTAATTTAAATTCTTATGTTGCCCACCCCTCTTACTGTTTCTGTTAGTTACCATTTTGTCCTAGGCACATGTCGATTACACACTAGGCCTGTTGTATATGCTTGGATGTATGTGTGCTGTATAACCAGTTCCATGTACTCTCTTTGGATACCCTAAGATAAGATTAGATTTTGTTCGCCATGTATAAACGTAAGTAACTATTCTTACAGAATTCATTATCTTTGTAACTTGTGAGCTCATTACCTTTGTACCTAGTTCAGCTATCAAAACTTAGGGGGCTCAGTCCCTGGACCCATTACGTACCTCTGTAATCTGTAAATACCTTTGTAACTTGTCATGATTGTGACCAGACCTACCTGGAGTTCATTACCTTTGTAAATTGTGAGTTCATTACCTCTGTAACTTGCTCAGCTATCAAAACTTTGGAGTCCAGTCCCTGGACCAATTATGTACCTCTGTAATCTTTTGACTACCGCCCACAGGATGGGTATGGGGTGCATAATAAACATATTAAACTAACTAAAATTCACACTGAGATCCGGGCTCGATTCCCGGGGAAGAGGTGGAAACATTTAGTTTAATAGTTTAATATGTTTATTATGCACCCCATACCCATCCTGTAGGCGGTAGTCAAAAGATTACAGAGGTACATAATTGGTCCAGGGACTGGACTCCAAAGTTTTGATAGTGGAAACATTGGACGTGTTTCCTTACACCGGTTGTCTATGTTCACCCCTCAGTAAAATGGGTACCTGGGTGTTAGTTGACTGGTGTGGGTCGCATCCTGGGACATAACTGACCTAATTTGCCCGACATGCTCAGCATAACAAAGGGCTTTCTATACAGTAGTATGTCATTGATGTCAACTAGGCCTACTTACCTTGTACATGTACCGGCCGGTGAACCATGGGCATAGTGTGTGAGGCTAGTGTTGCCTACCAGGCCACTGGACACCTGTCCTATTTGGAGCCTTAGAAACAAAATTTAGCAAGACACTTAAAACTCTTGACATTTCTTCAAAATAAAATACATACAAGTGATAACTAGCAAAAAAAATATACTACAAACTGAACGCATATTAATACGTACAGATGAAAGCTCTTGGGGTAACTCGGGCACTGCCACTGCTGACCACAGATGTTGCTAGTAACACACTTGCTATGCTGTTATCAGAGTGCAACTCGTCTCTTGGTGTACAGGTAGGACTTTTATATTTACGTTTGTTCAACTGGGATAGTATGACTTCATATACATTATTTTTTTTTTTTTTTAACTTGTGTGCCCTCAGGCAGATTTGATATACGTATATACTTTTTGTCATCTTACTGCAGATCTTGAATGCCGTTCGTTATGATTTTTCAACACCAGTTGGAGAAATTATTGCTGAAATAGATATTGCTATACAGTCTGCCAGCATGGCTGGTGTCCTTTTGACAGCAGATCCCAGAGTGCTAGAGTTGGCTGCTGCTGCAGCTGCTGACAAACATTCACATGTACCGTGGTTTGTAATGGCAGAAAACTTTGTTGATTTTCTTAAAGAAGCAGTTTCTTTTAAGTATTTAAACATTAAAATTGTCGAATATGGGGTTTTGAGTCTGTTAATGTGAATATGCCACATCATATTTTTGACAAGGTTCATAAATTTTCACACTGTAAATTATGCAAAAATACCCATACATAAACACCAATTGTTGGTGGCTAGATTGCTTGCTTTATGATTTTATCTATTTTAATTGGGGAATGCTAAATCCATAGGGTCAAACAACACCTGAGGAATGGTAGTATTGTAATTCAGATTCGATCCAAAGAAAGGGAGGATAAGCCCAATTCCTTGTATCAAGAGCTCCTCACATCAAGGCACCTTCCTTGAGTGGTGCTTAGGTTGATAAGGGTGGAGAAAGATTATCTGCATGATATGATGGTGACAAAATCATTGCCCACAGGAATGGGTTTGGAGAGCAACTTAATTCAAAATAGGAGGTTGTGAATCTCTTAAGAGAAGGCAAATACAGTACTATATATGCAGCTTTTAGACTTTTTTTTTTTAACATGTCGTCCATTTCCCACCGAGGCAGGGTGACCCAAAAAGAAAAAAAAAACTTTCAACATTTTCTCAGTCGCTCATACATAATCATTGTCTTTGCAGAGGTGCTCAGATATGACAATTTAGGTGTCCCTCCAAACTGCCAGTATCCCAAACCCCTCCTTTAAAGTGCAGGCATTGTATTTCCCATTTCGAGGACTCGATTCCAACTAACTGGTTTCCCTGAATCCCTTAACAAAATATTACCCTGCTCACAGTCCAGCTCGTCAGGTCCCAAAAACCATTCATCTCCATTCACTCCTATCTAACACACACACTTTACCTCCTTTACCCTCCCTCCCTCCCTCCCTCAACCTTGTCGAGGACGACTCCTACCTTGCTTCCTAAATTTTGCTTGTACAAGCTCAGTATGTTAAGAGGAGCATGACCAAATAAATGCAACCAGGCTTAACATTATCAGAAGGCAGGGTAGCTTTATGTATCCAATCCATTACTGGGTCGTGGGGGTGTTGACCCCTGGAACACCCTCCAGGTATGCTCCAGGTAAGTACAGCAATTTTTATAAGTAATTTTTATATTCTGTAATAGCAAAACTTGCCAACCTAAGCCCATAATAAGCTATTGTATTTACCTTCTCTATATACCATTCACTTGATACCTATTTTTTTCATACCAAGCCATGTTAATATTTGATATTCAGCCAAGTGTCAGTTGGTGTCCACCATTACTCAGTACTGTCAACAGTCAACCTTCACTCGTTTAGTCCTTAATCCTTCAATTGTGTCTAGACTACATCCAATTAGGGCTCTGGTTTTGCAAACTTAAGAATTTGTTTAATACTATTTCCTCTGTTAATACCCTTGTATAGCTTCAGATGTATATATTAAATATATTTTTTTTATAGTTTCTTTAATGCAAAATGCAACTAACATCTAATGGTAAGTATTCGTGTAGCAGAAATAGAAATGTGCCAATCCACTTGTAAACTCGAAACAGGAGGAACTTTTTAAAACATCCGTTCCTTTATCTTTTATTGCATTATGCAGTTTAAACAATTTTCACCCCAAACTTGGACATATTAAAAAACCCTTTTAAAAAACCATGATCGTTCAATTTTTTTTTTTAGGTTTTACATTTTCCTTTTAAATCCTTTGTGAACTAAGCAGTATTTTTAAAACCAATACCCCAAAATCACAGATTGGAAAATTAAAGTGGATGAGTTTTTGGGATCATTATCAAACATCCGATCCATTTTTTCCAGATTGAAGTTATTTACAATTATTTCATCCTTAGTACTGAATTTTTCTTACTTTTTTTTCCATTTATGTATTAAACCCTTAGTATACAGTAAAACCCCCCGGTTTCGGATCCTTCCAGAAGATGGGGCCAAAAACCGAAAAGGCCGAAAGCCAGAGAAAATTTTTTCCCATAAAATTAAGTAAAACAATTAATCCGTTCCAGACACCAAAAAAATTTTAAACAAAAAATCATTTTTTTTAAAGATTTACTATAGCTTTACATACAGAAAACAATGAAAATAAATTAAACACAAATTTTAATATAAAGAACATTACATTCCCTTTTTATTGAAACTTGTTGGCATTTTTAAGTCGAAGAGGGGAGAGGAAGTTGGGGTTTATTTTTTGGGAAGGGAAATCCACCTCCATAAGAACTACAGGTAAAAGCCCCCTACCAGGTTACTTCCCTTTCTTTGCTTTTACTGGCACTGGGATCACTTGAGAGTCACTGCCCCCCCCTTTGCAAAAAAAAAAAAAAAAGAAAATTTTCCAGAGGTCTTTTTCGGGCATCTTTTTAAGATTGCCTAATGGGACAAGGTATTGTCCACTAAAATGTTTGCAGCATACTTGTTTGAGCTTGGTCAGGGTGAATTTCCTCCATAAAAATTTTTCAACTCACTCCATTTTGAAACCATTCTTTAATCACGAAAAAGGGCACATTCCCCTTCTCTTTTCCTTTTTCATCCTCCTCCTCCTTTCCTGCTCCTCTAAAGCAGTTTCCTCAGCGTGGTCTTTTGCTTTTTAAATGAAGGTCTTGCAGCTCTTCAGTGGTTACCCCCCTGGGCCCTCCCCCAAACTCTTCCAAACCCCTCCCCTACCTCCAACCCCATAACTTCCCCAAAGACACAATAATTCCAAAACGGGCAGAGGGTTGTCGGGGGTCAGCCTCAAACCCTCAAAATCCTTGTCGAGGACACGTTCTGGCCACAATTTCCCCCTGTAGATTCAAAGTCCTGGAATCATCCCCCAAGCCTTACCTATAAGGGCCCAGCAATGGGGATATTTAAGTAAATTCCCCAGAAAAAAATCTCTTAGGGTCAATAAGTGCCGAAGTTATTTTCAAAACACCTTTGCAACATTGCTTTTGTGTAAGGTCTTTTGAATTACAAAAGACCTGCTGGCCAGGGCTGGTGAGAAGTGGTGTTAGGAGGAAAAAACTTCACTGTTTTAAAACTTTAAACCCCTGGACAATTGGGCAACCAAGTTTGGAGGATGAGCAAAGCACTGTCCATACCGGGGGCACTTTAGTGGGAATTTATTTTTCCCGGAGATTTTTTTCACACTCGGGAAAACATTCTCAACCCCTCAATAAAATTTTGGGTTTGACCCATGCCCTTATTAGGTTTCCACAACACACACAATTTACCTTGACAACAATGTTTTTCTTGAACACACGGATTTTCAAGTGATAACCAGAAAGGCTTCACTTGAAAACCCCACTACATTTCCACAGAACAAAAAGTAAGCCTACCTTCATAGGCTTGTGTCCGGGAGTGCCTTTTTTCCTCCTGTTGCTGAGGTCCTCTGGCATTTTCTTCCAAGAGGGGCCGTTTTCTCACAAATGACACTTGTTGGGGGGCGAATCCTTTAGCCTCTATGTACTCCTTGAATTCATGCCAATTTTTCAGGGCCCACATTTGTCTGAACTTGCAGCCTCGCCACACCTTACAACACTGGTTTTCCACTACGCTTCTTAAAAAACTTCAAAAAACCTTTGCTGGGCCTTAAAATTCCCCCTAACACAGCCTCTTTTTCCCCATTTTATTTACGAATCCTAGCAACTGCCCGGGGTTTTTAACAAATGTTACCTACAAATTACTCCCGCTAAAAGTTTTTACGTTGATCCCCACCAACAATAACTTCTCCACATCTTTGATTATTGGTGATCTTTGTTTCATTAGCATATTTACACCTTTCGCAACATTAGCTTCCTTGATTTCTTCTTTTTTTTGCCAGAATGGAATTTATTTTTTTGTTGGATTTGCCAAAAAATCCTGCAAGCTGGAGCACATGTACACCAATTTCATACTTTACTACAATTTCTTTCTTGAATTCTATCGTGTTTCTCATTTTCTTTACCAAAGGTCTGGCATTAGGAACTTTCCTTTGGCCCATGGTGGCTTATTTCACAGTCACACTCAATAAACAACCACAAAAAACAGTGGAGTATAAACAAAATATTTGGATGAATGCGTGCAGTGTTGCTCACTCGCCTAGAGACGCAGCCAGACTCTCACGCACGTGGCCGATTTCCGAGTTGCTGGCTGAAATCCAAGATGGAATTTAGGCCAAAAAAGCAGCCGAAATCCAATTTGGCTGATATCTGCACCAGGTGATATCCAGGGTCCACTGTACATGGTGTCTTACATGAGCACTTGAAGGGTAGTTTACATATATTTTAACCAGTAGAACTTAATACCCAATTGTCATGCTTTAAATACAGTAACTGTACTTCATTGTAATTGGAGCACAAGACCTCCCACACTATGTATATAGAGCAACATGTTTTACTTTTTCATCTTAACATATTTTGCTCCTTAAGAATTTATCAAATATTTATATTTACTTTTTATTGTTCATATCTTAACCCAGTGTTTGATAAGCAATTAAGTATTTCTGTACTTGAGTAACATGGCATAATATAAGTATTTTCCTGAAAGGCTTCTTAATTAAAATCAAACAGTCCTATGAAGTGTTTCACTTAGTCTTGTATATGCAGTATTTCCAAGCAATTATTATTATTATTATTATTATTATTATTATTATTTACCCTCCATTTGAATACTCTTTACTGCCTGCTCCCCAGGTGCCATTTGATCCTTATGATTTTAGCAGCCCTTCCCCATGAATATATTAGTACAATGTTCATTGAAAACATGACCTTACTATGGCAATGGGATTTCAGTGTAAATAGCAAGGAGCTTGCCTGTCATTCATTAGTGTGCAAACTTATAGCCCATGACTGATTGGGTTATGAGTAAAGTGTGACCTGCAAGTTATATATTGATTTGATTAATAGTGAACAACAAACCAAAATAAACAGAGAAATTCATAGCTTTCATTGCCACTTCTTGGTGCACAGGCAACCTCCAGTAATACCGATGGCCCAGTTCCCTTTGGGCGAAGCAACTAATGCCACCCCTACCCATTCCCAGCACTAATTGGCAGGAAATTCAGACAGGTCTAGTGATCTCTTTTTTTTCTAGCCTTCTAAAAGTAAACTTTGGCAAATGGAGAAATGTCTCCACTGTTTAGTTAAAAAAAAAAAAAAAAAGGTTAAGGGACCTGAATTTAGTCAAGCATCTCAGGAAAGCATTTCTCAAACATCACCATCACAATAAGGTGACATAACATTTGAAGGTGAAAGGTATTTTGCATATTAATAAAATGCTGAATCCATACGATGGCATTTGTAGCCAAATACCCCTCAAGGATGGTACCTACATACTGGTGAGGGGCTCGTTCCAAACTTTATTTCATTCACGGGGAAGTTGTAGACCAGTAGTGATCATATAGTGCCTGGGTAATGAGGCATTCACGTTCAATCCAAGGAAGGGGTGGTTAGGTCCAGTTCTTTGTATCAAAAACCCCTCGCCTGCATCAAGACACTTCCAAAGAATTGGGTGTATCCTCTCCCTCATTTGATTGAACTTGATTGCCCCCCCATTTCTTAGGTATTGGCCCCTATGGGTTTTACACTTCCCCCATGAATGTATTAATGTAGCATATTATCATTTTTGGTTGTCTCAGACTCCCTTAGTGCTTTACAGGCTATACAGAAATTTGATACACCTCACCCCTTAGTCCTCCGTATCCAACTTTGGCTACGCCGCATCTTTACCAGGCATAAAGATATTGTTTTTTGTTGGGTCCCTGGTCATGTTGACATACAGGGCAATGAACAGGCAGACACTGCTGCGCGGTCAGCGGTACATGACCTACCAGTTTCATATAGAGGTATTCCATTTACGGACTATTTTGCTGCAATATCTTCCCACCTTCACACCCGTTGGCAACACCATTGGTCTACTATGCTCGGCAACAAACTTCAATCTATTAAACCAAGTATAGGTTACTGGCCGTCTTCTTATCACCAGTGTCGAGGTTGGGAGACTACTCTCTCCCGTCTTCGCATTGGCCATACTCGTCTTGCTCATGGATATCTCATGGAGAGGCGCCCTGCTCCTCTCTGTGAGAATTGCCAAGCTCCATTATCAGTCAGCCACATTCTGTTGGACTGCCCACTTTATCAACGAGCACACAGAATTTACCTCCGTCATCGTCTTCGCTCCGCTGCTCTCTCTTTACCTTCCCTTCTCGCTGATGGACCCACCTTTCATCCGGACTCTCTCATTGACTTTTTGACAACAACTGACTTCACAAATTCTGATACCTTCAGCCCTTTCTACTTCAATCTCTTGCTACCCTCTACCCCCATACTATCCCCTGCCCTGCTTTTTCTGTAACCTACTGATCATCCCTCCTCCCTTCTGCCATCCAATACCTCGCTTCCTTCCCTACCCTGCAGCGCTGTATAGCCCTTGTGGCTTAGCGCTTCTTTTTGATTATAATAATAATAATAATGTAGCATATTCATAGCATAATAACAACCCATGTAGGTTTAGTGCTTCATTTTTTATTGTAATGATAGCATACATTGTCAGTGGATATGTGACAGTTACCAGAGATCTGAAAGACAGCAAATTTAGTCCCTATATTTAAGAGACAGACAGGAGGCATTAAACTGCAGACCAATTTCTGATGTGCATGCCTTACAAGGTAACAAACTTTTTTAGGGACAAGTGGTGGTACACATGAAGAGAGGTGATTTCATAAACATCCAGCATTGGTTTAGGGATGGCAAATCTGTCTTACTAACTTGGAGTAATATGACATAGTAATAAATGTACGACACAGGGTTGAATTGCATTTTCTTAAGACTACAAGGCATGTGATATTACCCACAAGAGGCTGGGCTAAAACCTTCAGATTCAGGTTGGAATAACAAGGCACAATAACTGGCCACAAAATAGAGCGAAACACCAACGTCAAAGACCTGGGAGTGATCATGTCGGAGGATCTCGCCTTCGAGGACCATAACATTGTATCAATTGCATCTGCTAGAAAAATGACAGGATGGATAATGAGAACCTTCAAAACTAGGGAGGCCAAGCCCATGATGACACTCTTCAGGTCACTTGTTCTATCTAGGCTGGAATATTGCTGCACACTAACAGCACCTTTCAAGGCAGGTGAAATTGCTGACCTAGAAAATGTACAGAGAACCTTCATAGCGCGCATAACGGAGATAAAACACCTCAATTACTGGGAGCACTTGAGGTTCCTAAACCTGTATTCCCTGGAATGCAGGTGGGAGAGATACATGATTATATACACCTGGAAAATCCTAGAGGGACTAATACCGAACTTGCACACGAAAATCACTCGCTACGAAAGCAAAAGACTTGGCAGACGATGCAACATCCCCCCAATGAAAAGCAGGGGTGTCACTAGCACGTTAAGAGACCATACAATAAGTGTCAGGGGCCCGAGACTTTTCAACTGCCTCCCAGCATACATAAGGGGGATTACCAACAGACCCCTGGCAGTCTTCAAGCTGGCACTGGACAAGCACCTAAAGTCGGTTCCTGACCAGCCGGGCTGTGGCTCGTACGTTGGTTTGCGTGCAGCCAGCAGCAACAGCCTGGTTGATCAGGCTCTGATCCACCAGGAGGCCTGGTCACAGACCGGGCCGCGGGGGCGTTGACCCTCGGAACTCTCTCCAGGTAAACATACTCTGGTATATGAAAGAGTATCTTAAGGGTAGGTAAGTGAGGTAAGTGATGCCAGAAAGGGGAAGAGTAACTAGTGGGGCTCAGCATAGATCAGTTAGAACTAGTATTGTTTTGGGTTTATGCAAATAACATTCCAGATGGGATTGATTCAGATGTATCTGTTTGCTGATGACATGAAATTGATTGAGAATAAAAATGGAAGAAAAAGAAAGGCTCCAAAAGGATCTGGACAAATTGCAAGTGGTCACGTAAATGGTTGCTTGAATTTAACCTCAGTAACTGCAGAGTCAGAGTGAGGAAGGAGCAAGAAGACCAGAGACTGGCTATAGCATGTGGGGACTTTTAAATATATCGACCATGTCCCATTAAAGCAGGGTGACCCACAAAGACTTTAAATTTAGTAATTTATACAGAAGAGGTTACAAGCCCCTTGCTCCCGGCATTATAGTAGCCCCTTATGACACTCGTAGCTTACAAGGGAAGAATCCCTTTCCACTTCCCCATGGAGATAGGAGGAAATAAAGAATTATTATTATTACAGGTTTGTGTTTCACTCGCTTGGCAGGACAGTAGTACCTCCCTGGGTAGTTGCTGTCTACCAACCTACTGCCTAGGATGATTATTATAATCATAGTGTTAAACTCGCAAGGATCATGCAGCACTGCAAGATAAGGCATGATAAAGGTGTAACATGCTTGATCAGATTATTATTATAATCAAAAAGATGCTTGATCAGAGACTATCAGCTTAGGGGTACAGGATGCAATTTCCTCGAAGACCTAAAGGCAAGTACATACAAAGTCTTTGTGGTTTAGTAAAATTTATTCAATTGTAATACCAAATGGTTGAAGACTATACAAAGTAGTTATACATCATATACAAGTAAATCTTTAATTCTTTATAATCCCAATACTGTCCTGGCTATCACAAAGTAAAGTACTGTAGATTTACATGCTAGAGACATGCTGTATTCCTAAACCTTACTTAATTTGTGAAGAATTTTAATATTCCATTAATTTTATGTATATAATATATATCCCCTATGGGTTCAGCACTTCCTTCTGTACTGTATATATACCTGCATTATAAAACCATCAATACAGTGGTTGAACATGTCATACAAACAATAAATAACACAATATACATTTGAGACAATGCCATATCTCTATAAACATGCTATTATTAAAATTCTAATAAAGAAAAAACTAGGTGGCTACAAACTCCACTGGCTTTGTAGTTATGTACTGTATGTAAATATAAAAAAAAATCTTTGCCCTAGAGTACACACGTGCTCAAAAGAAAATTTTATTACTTTATATAAAATTCTATATTAATCAATAATCTTGCAGTGGATGATAAGGCAACTCAACTACAAAAAATTAAATGAGAAATTACAAGTAATTCAGTGTATATTTTAGCTACACATTTTTTTTTTTTGGAAGAACATTTAGTTAACACACACAAGCCCTATAGATATTACCTACATTTTTCATTCATAGTTATCCATTATATCCTTTACTCAATTCATTAGCACGTAAAATGTTGCTCACGAGATAATGTATTATCCTAATGTGCTCACGCCAAGCTTCAAATAGATGCACTAATAGCTTTTGGAATAAAGAAAAATGCTGATGGACGGTGGGCTATGATACTTGAGCCAGCCAAATTAACATAGTAATAAACGAAGACATTCCTTCACTGAGGTAACAACCACTGAAGGAGTTTGCTACTCCTTTTCTTAACCTGGAAATTTGTTTATATTCCTTTGGAAATAAGTTATCTATCTTGGATCTTTGATGAAACTATACCTAATGTAGTGTGCATTTGTAATTGCATCTAAATATGGCAAATTTGCACGTGCATGCCACTGCAGTATACCAAATTTAAACATTATCAGTTTCCCTGACCTGCATTAAATTAAACATACTTATCAATTATAATTATCACATATATGTACAAAAAAATGCTGTACTGTATGAAAAGTTCTAAATAAAATTCTTAAAAGAACTGATTAGATTTATCACAATTCACAAAGGAACTGCTTACAAAGCCCTAACTTATAATTCCCTATTATAATTCAGGTACAATTTCAGGGCATGGGGAAGAGGTAGCAAACCAATTTTTTCCCGCATGTAAGTAGAATAAGTCTCAGCAGCAGATACTCTCTTACAGCTGTCGCCTTCTTCATTATCTTCTGGGTCATCTCCTCTTCTTGTCTTAAAACTCTCACTGCAGTTTCCTCCACAAGGGCAAGATGGGTCATCAGCATCCAGTAGCCGGGTGACTTTCGTTCTTGGAGCAGAGTTATCAGAGTAATCTGAATCTGTAGAATCTATATCCATGTCAATGTCACCATCATCTCCTTGATCAGATTCTGAGCTAGGTCCTTTTCCATTTTCAATTTCATCCCCTACTCCACTATCAAACTTTTCTCGTTTCTTATTAGACTTCACTGGCATAACAGGTGTAGAAGTCATTGGTATTGGGTCAGAATGTGGCATGGTAGCAACTGATGGTATTGGTTCTTCGCCATTTTGAGGGTTTTCTGGAACAACTTCTTCCACATCTTTGCTCACTTTTTCTTTAACAGATATTACTTGTTTTGCTGATTTCCCTAGTTCTGTTGCAGCATCACAACTCTCAACTATTTCAGAATCATTACTGCTTGTATGTGCATCATCCTTTTTTTCTTCCTCTCCATCTTCAAGTTCAGTGTCTGGACCCCTTTCTTCACGGTTTTGTCTGGCCTCATTTTCTTCCCTCTCTCTCTCCAACCTCCTTTGGCCAGCAAGGTTTCTAGCCAGTTCAATAAAGGTAGAGAACTGATTAGTGTGATGCTGAGCATCAATGAGGTTATCATTTTCATCATCTGAAATCATCCGAGGGTCATCATCAGACTCATAAAAGGGGACAGGAACATAGGGAACAACTACCCGCCTAATCTGTCTACGATCACGTGGTCTTGAGCGTTTGTGCATTGGTCTATTTGCAGCTGTGACCAAATCAGGATGCTCATGTTCAATGTTTGCACGGAGGAGAGAGCGAAGCTCTTGACGACACATATCCTGAAGATCTGGTAACTCCACAACAGCTAGGGTGAAGAAAGACAAAAAAAATAGTAACTGACTATACTAAATGCTGAAATCTCCACATATAAAACATTTAAATATTGGAGTAGCATTTGGCTTGCTCATATCTAAACAAGGCATTTATGTAGGTGAGAGAGTTAATGCACAAATAATCCGCACGTAGAAGAGAGTAGCTAACGACAACGTTTCTGTCTGACGTGGACCATTTACAAAGTCACACTAATGAGAAGAGCAGGATGGGTATATATAGGCAGGAGGTGGTAGTAGTGGAGGTGGAAGGTAGTAGTAGTGGGGAGACAGTAAGAGTAGGAGAGGCCAGTCAAATACTAAGAAAGAGGAGCACTGCAAGGGAGCTGGTGCCCACAGAGGGTAAGAGCAAGAACACACAGGGGGGGGGGACAAATAAGTAAATAAAGAAGGAACAAATATACAGGGCAGAAGACAACCCAAAAGGGTTGTCTTTCTTCAGCACACTGTAAAAGATATTTAAGAGATTGATTAATATGGAATAGTTTATCACAAATTGAAACAAAAACTATATAAATACATATGGCTCAACAAGAGTTACAATGTATATGTTCAAATATTGGTTGAGTAAGTAATTTTCTTCAAATCTGCACTCCTCAGAGGAGGTTCCTTGAGACTGGCAAGGGGTTCCTAATCCAAGGATGTGAACTTGACCTCCCCTTCTTGAAACAAACCTAATTGCCTGCTAATCCCCAGGCACTATGACTCCTATCAGTTTAACTGCCACCCTTATAAATGTAATGATTCAAATCCAAACCTAAGTTACACCTTTCATTAAACTGGTCTTCTCAACTAGACCCAATGGTCAGATGCCAATTTAATTTCTTTTACAATAATTTTTTGAATCAGAAGAGTATCTCAAAGCACTTACACTCACACAATTATTTTTCCAACAATTATTACAAAGTCTTCTTCTTATGCTGCATACTATTACACCTCGGTATGCAGTGAAAATTGTAAAATAGGGTTTCTGATGTTACTACTATTCAACTTAGACCTGAAAGCAATTACTTTATCCTTATGCACATATCCTAGTCTTGCTTTGAGCATTGACTACCTCCCTCATTTATTTAATCATAAGTAAAAAATGGTTAAGAGCCATTCTGACTGCTAACATGAATTTTAATTTTGTAACTATTATTAATTTATTACATATTTTAGTCACATTAAAAGTATACATCCAATAATACAAGTATTCTGTTAATAATAGTTATTTAAATAATCTTCAGATTTTATCCATATACTGTACTGTACTTGCAGTACAGTATATACCACTGTACTGTCAGAAGTAAATTATAATGTTAGACGAGTTCTGATTATTCAATATTATGTATCAAACACCTAAAAGGTAACTTACTATTACTCAATAAAGTTAACTTACGGAGAGTAACTGTAGCTGGAGGATGGTTAGGATCTGGCATAACAAGAGATGAGAAGGAGACCGGAAGTAAGAACAAATTTTCCCATGTGTTTGGTCCACTACGAGTCATCTTCACAAGCTGATCATTGATTGGCATCACCAACACACCTCCAGGCTGTTAAGTAAATCACATATGTATTACTAGTTTAATGAAATTACCATTTATAAGGCTCAAGACAATTAAAATCCTTCTAACTTGTTCTAGTTGCTACATCCAGAAATGCAATCATTTTAAATGTTTATAATACTATACATGTACTGTGCAACTACATTTATTTAGCTAACTGGGAAGATAACCCTCTGAGCAAGTAAATTATGCACACTATCTTATGAGCTCACTAAACCATATTTTGTATGTGATGGTTAGCCTTGTTAGCTATGGAAACAGTACCCCTCAGGGAAGGTTCCTTGATGTTGGTGAGGGGCTCTTGATTTAGGGAATTGGATCTGTGCTCTAGTTCCCCGAATTAAGCCTGAATGCCTTCCACATCCCCCCCCCAAGCGCTATAAAATCCTACAGGTTTAGCACTTCCCCTTGATTATAATAATAATATGGAAACAGTAAATTACAACAGGGAAAGAATGTGATTGTTTCCAAATTATCTATTTCTTTAGAAACACTATTATGGCCTACATTTTATTAACCCTTTATGGGAGATGCCTCATTGCTGAACAGCTCTTGATCCAGGGAAATGGAGCAATCAATCCCTTTGCTGAAACCTGCTTACCTTCTATTTCCCACGGACTCCATGATCCTGGATTTAGCACTTCTGCATTAATAATTATAATACAGTACATTTTGTCTAGTCCAGTTAGCCAGACTTGAGCCCTGAAGGTGGGAAGTACAGTGCAACCTCGGTACTCAAACAGCTCCCTACTCGAACAAAGCTCAGCACTCGACCAAACAAACACAACCTGCCAGAACTTCGCTGTAAACTATTTCGTGTTTCTTCGTATTTTTTTTTTATATTATTTGTATAAATGTCACCATGGGGCCCACGAACATTAGTGATAACAGGCAACCAAAAAGAAAATTGGTTGGGAGGAATATGTTCAGTACTCGAAAGGATCGGCACTCAAAAAGCCTTCTGGAATGAATTAAGATCGAGTACCAAGGTTCCACTTTACAGTGCCTGCACTCTAAAGGAAGAATTTGGGATACACCTACCATCCGACTTATGACCTGCTTGACATACGACCATTCAACTTACGACCTGTTTTGTATGCCAAATTTCTGGGAAATAAACAACTGTTTGTGTTGCACACAGTGTTTATCCTAAACCTTACAGTATAAAGCATAGTACTAACAGCATAAAAAGTAATGTAAAAAATGAAATACAAAAATAAAACAATAAAATAGTCATTACAAAAATGTGATGTTGATATTCTGTAGTAAGGTTCGACTTACACCCATTTCGACTTATGACCGGTTGGTCGGAACCGAACTCGGTCATAAGTCGGATGGTACCTGTACTTGCTGTTTAGAGTGATATCTAAACTGTCATACCTGCACACCTCTGGCAAGATACTGATAGTGTAAATGTTGGTGAAATTGTTTCTTTTTTTGGTTATCCTGCCTGAGTGGGAGTTGGCCAATGTATTATAAAAAAATTATCTAATGCCACAGTAAGCTTTCGTGATCTTATCCTTCTGTCTTCCCAATTATACTTACATGCTTGCTGAGATAATTCTCAGCCTTTTACAGTTTTTCAGGTCAAACATACAGCAACTGCTTGGATTACATAAATGCTCAACCAGCATAAAGAAGTCTCCAGCATATTTCTAATAAATGTTCAAAATTCTAGTAATCCAATGTAGCTGGAGAAGATTCTGCACGAGACCATCTTCCTAGGAATGGAAATTTGAATAACAGAGCTTCAGATATATGTATGTATAGTATTGTATGGGTAAGTGTGCCTATGTCCATACAAAATAAAAACTAACCTTTACAAGGGCCTTCATATACTGTTCATGGGTCTCAGGGCATGAAGCTCCACAGTATACACGATCATAAAGACGCATATCCGGGGGCAAACATAAGCAGTTACCTGTAAGTAGATGAACTGTGTAACAGATGACAAAAAAACAAATCAGACAAAATATAACTAATATCCCAGTGGGAGTAAAGCTATAAATTCTTACAGTAATACCCTTCAACAAATATTTCCTAACATCTTAAAATGAGCCAAGGTCACCTAAGTTTGAACTGCATCAATGTCAAATCTAATATTTCCCTCCAGGGAGGTGCCCTAAAGCCAGTGAGTGCTTTTGCTCTAAGGAACTGTAGTTATCCTCCCTTTTCTTTGATCAACCTTGACCGACTCCTATTTCCCAGGCATTATATGACCCATACAATTTGGCACTTCTCCCTAAATGAAAAAAAAAAAAAATACGTGTACTAATATTGTATACAAAATACTGTAGACCACCAACCTTGGTGTGGGATACGTTCTTGAACTCAGACATGTCCCTATCCATAAAAATGCAATATCTGGAGTAAAGAACATACAAAAAATTGGACTGTATTCTTGGCACCTCCAAATAAGCCGCACAAGTGTTTTTTTTTTTTTTAATTTTTAATTTCTCAAAATTAAAACTTTTGATGCTTTATATTGCAGATATTGTTGCATGTTGATCTAAAAATGTGTGGAGAGGCTTCATGTTGCCGTACTATACCTATTTGGATGTAGCGAGGTTCAGATAAACATACAGTACAAGTGTAATAAGTCAGTGTTTGACTTACTGGGAAATCCAAGATTAAATTTATATAAAGTACTTTTTGCATCCATAATGTGTGCCACAAACACCATCATTAAAATTCTGCATATGCACCCAAAACATAAAATAACTTAAGTAAGGCTGGGGGGAAAGACTGTGTTTGAAATATTTAGTGTGCTCCACAGTGGCCAGTGGCCTGGTGGCAAAAGCTCTCACTTCACATGGTGAGGATCCTGAGTTCGATTCCGCCAAAGGGTGGAAACACTAGGCGTGTTTCCTTACACCAGTTGTCCATGTTCACCCATCAGTTAAAATGGGTACCTGGGTGTTAGTCGATTGGTGTGGGTTGCATCCTGGGGCAAAATTGACCTAATTTGTCTGAAATGCTCTGCATAACAAGCGGCTTTCAGTACAGTAGTATGTCACTGATGTCAGCTAGGCCCGTATACCTTGTACATGTACTTGTAGAAATAAAAATATTATTATTCCATAGAAAAATGGGCAGGGCATTCCTTATAGAGATAATAGGTATAGGATCACTACACCCCCTACACTAAGTTTTCATTTAAATTTTGCATCATACTCACCTTGTACAAATAAAGGATCACAAAAAGTAAAAGCATCAATGGCTGATGAAACCCTCTTAAATTCTTCTAACCTCTCAAGTCCATATTTTACCACATCTGCATGAAGCTCCACTCCATGATTGATGCCATACGGACCTATATTAAGAGAAAATTTCAGTGTTATAAATTACAAACCTTACTTCCAGGTTAGATTAATGCAACAATTTATTTTAATGTGGTTGATGATTGTGCACCTCATATCTATCCTGTGGAGAGTAGCACAAGTGTATATACCTGCCCCACCGAGGCAGGATGACCCAAAAAAAGAATAACACTATCATCATTCACACAATCAATGTCTTGAAGAGGTACTCAGATATGACAGTTTAAATGTCACTCCAAACAGCTAATATCCCAAACCCCTCCTTGAAAGTGCAGGTATTGTACTTCCCACCTCCAGGACTCGAGCCCAGCTAACCAGTGTCCCTGAACCCCTTCACAAAATATTACTCTGCTCTCACTCCAACAGCTCATCAAGTCCCAAAAACCATTCATCTCCATGCACTCCTATCTGACTTGCTCACACATGCCTGCTACATGTCCAAGCCCCTTGCACACAAAACCTCTTTTGCTCTTTCCATCCTTTCCTAGGCAACCCCATCCCCCTTCCCTCTACTACAGATTTATACACTCTCCAAGTATCCTATTTTGCTCCATCCTCTCTAAATGATCAAACCACCTAACAATCCCAATTCAGCCCTCTGAGTAATACTTTTAGCAACCCCACACCTCCTAATTTCCACACTATAAATTCTCTGCATAATATTTACACCACACATTGCCCCAAGACCTAACATCTCCACTGCCTCCAGCATTCTTGCTGCAGCATTTACAACCCATGCTTCACACCCATATGAGTTATAAACCCTAAAACAGTTAAGTATATCAAAAATTACCATGAGAGGCTGCTCAATTATTATTATTATTATAATCAATTTAAACACTAAACCCACAAGGGTCATACACCACTGAGAGGCTGCCCAAATTTATATTCTTTATCCCCTAATTTTTTCATTTATAACTTTAAAATACTACCTCATTTTATTGGATTTCAAGTTTTCAACACTGTCATACTGTAAGTAGGGAAATTTTCACACAATTACCGGCACACGTCGGTGTTCTCTGGTCAATTTTATACAGACCCTTCCCGGGTTTCGTTTTCATGAGATAACTTGGAGAAAGCATGTGATTAGCTTCAAATTTTCAACACTGCTGTATCCTACTTAAAAATTTGGAGTGCTTATGTGCCAATTTTGCTGAAACTACTGTACATTTATGGTACAGTAGTTTCACCAATATTTTTATGTACAGTAAGCATAAGATAACTTTAAGCTTAATTTAGGAAATCTGCAAATGTTGTGCCCCCTGAATGGGGCCCAATGTATATACAGTGGACCCCCGGTTAACGAACTTTTTTCATTCCAGAAGTATGTTCAGGTGCCAGTACAGACTGAATTTTTTCCCATAAGGAATATTGTGAAGTAGATTAGTCCATTTCAGACCCCCAAACATACACGTACAAACGCACTTACATAAATACACTTACATAATTGGTCGCATTTGGAGGTGATCGTTAAGCGGGGGTCCACTGTACAGTGGAACCCCAGTTATCGGCCATAATCCATTCCAGAAGGTCGGCATAAATCCAAAAAGGCCAAAAATCAAAGTAATATTTCCCATAAGAATTAATGTAAATACAATTAATCTGTTCCAGACACCCAAAAATATTAACAAAAAATAAATTTTTTAAAGATTAACTTTAGTTTTATATACAGAAAACAATGAGAAATAAATATAAAGCAGAAATTTGAATGATAAATGAACATTACATACCTTTATTGAAGAGGGGAGAGGGAGTTGGGAATCCCCCTTCATAAGGACTTCAGGTATCAAAACCCTCTCTAGGGTTACTTCCCTTCTTCATCATTTACTGCCACAGTACATTCATTACTTACCTTAAAATATTTGTAGTCTTCATGTAGGGTGAGTAGTATTTATTTGTAGGAAGTCAGTGTAGGCAACAGTAGATGTAGGTACACATATATAGCCCCCTGAGCTACACTACACAGCCATATTATTACCATGCTCACTGAGTTTAATAGTTTCTAACAACTACTTTTAGATGCCATCATAAACAAAGGGAGAAGTAATGAATAATTCATGCCGAGAATTGTAAACAAACGCATATGAAGGGCGGTGACTGGGCCAGACGCCAGATTCACAGTTTTCTCTAACGCTGAATAAGAGAAAACATAATATTTACTCCACCAGACTCACCACTCAATAGCATATAAACATTGCATGTTCATATGCTATGTAATGTGTTTCTTATATAATTTTGAAGAAAATATCATAGATGGATTAATGAAAATGCCTATATTAACCTAAAATAAGACATTTAATGTGCCCAAGAGTGATTATTATTAAACATACATTGCATATAAACATTGCATGTTTTTATATATGTACTACTATGTAACGTTTTTATTTGGGCCCATGGTGGCTTATTGAACAGTTGCACTCAATAAACAACCACAAAAAACAATAGATTATAATGAAATGTTTGGATGAATGAGTGGAATGTTGCTCACTCACCCAGAGACACAGCCAGACTGACTCACGAATGCGGCAGGCGGACGCGTCCAATACGGCCGATTTCCGAGTTGCCGGCCGAAATCCAGGACAGAATTTCGGCCAAAAAAGTGGTCCAAATCCGATTTGGCCGATATCCGCATTGACCAATATCCGGGGTTCCACTGTATTGTAATTTTGATGTATATTACCTTTTCATACAATTTTATATTGCTGATATTTTCAATATTAGCTAATTGAAAATACAGTGGACCCCCGCATAGCGAACTTAATCCGTGCAAGAGGGCTGGTCGTTATGCGAAATGTTCGCTATGCGAATTAATTTTCCCCATAAGAAATAATGGAAATAAAATTAATCCGTGCAAGACACCCAAAAGTATGAAAAAAAAATTTTTTTACCACAAAAAAATGTTAATTTTAGTACACACAAACTGAAAAAAGCATGCACAATTACATGACACTTACTTTTATTGAAGATCTGGTGATGATTGATGGGATGGGAGGAGGGGAGAGAGAGTGTTAGTGTTTAGAAGGGGAATCCCCTTCCATTAACACTTGAGGAGGCAAGTCCTTTTCCGGGGTTACTTCCCTTCTTCTTTTAATGCCACTAGGACCAGCTTCAGAGTCACTGGACTTCTTTCTGTCCATAGAGCTCTGTACCTCCCGTTCCTTTACGATTTGTCTAAAATGGGCCATAACATTGTCATTGAAATAGTCACCAGCACGCCTTGCAACAGCTGTGTCAGGGTGATTTTCATCCATAAAGGTTTGCAGTTCAACCCACTGTGCACACATTTCCTTAATTTTTGAAGTAGGCACAATGGATTCCACAACTGGCATAGGCTTCTCAGGGTTAGCCCCAAACCCTTCAAAATCTTTCTTAATTTCCATACTAATTCTCACCCTTTTTACCACAGGGTTGGCACTAGAAGCTTTCTTGGGGCCCATGGTCACTTATTTTCAACAAACAGAACCGAAAACACTGTAATAATACGAAATATTCCGAGTGTATGCTTGAATGTTACCGCGGAGGCTAGCTGGTAAACAATGGGACAGGCGGCACATGTGAGGCTGGCTGAGGCCGCACATTGGACGCGTCTCGGACGAAGTTCGCTGAGCGGGTTTTTGTCTACTATGCGGGGCAAAATTTTAGCGATCAAAGCGTTCGCTATGCGGAATGTTCGCTATGCAAGGCGTTCGCTATGCGGGGGTCCACTGTACATACAATATCTTGCTTTATATTATTATTTGACTAAACTTATGTCATTAGGTAGGATGTAACATTTACACTTTCTGTGCTCACTGTTCAAGAGTGTTGAGTGGCTGCCCACATTGGCAAACTACCTTGTTAACTACCACCTTGCTTGTTTACCTGCCGGCTTAGTCCTGGAGTAGCTAGGCAGCACCACGAGAGAATCATGTGATCGCACCTGAGCTTGGGGACTGGCCTTTCTTGTACACTCTCTCCTCTGCTGGTCCTGGTTCGAACAACATCTCTCTCTCCCTTGTTGTTTGTTCGTTATTTAGACTGTTTTGGTAGAGTATGATTTCGGTGGCGAGTCGAAACATACCTCTCGTAACTCTGTGTAACTCAGTTCACAGAGCATAGTTCAAACTTGGTGAATTTCAACGTTTTACTGAGGCTGTGTGTCATACTGACACTCTGAGTCAACCCAAGTCCTAAGCTTTAGCTTCTGACTTATTTTGTCTGGTATCTGCGCACTGTCGTAGTTGGGGATTTGGTTATGGTGAACCTAGATTCAGTATTAAGAGAGTTTTATGCCTCTTATGAAGGATCTGCTGAAGGTCCCCAGTTAGGGTCGTTATTTTGTCTACTTGTTTCTGACTTCATGCTGCTGCTGCTTGTGACTTTATTGCTGTTGGCAAATGGTCATCTTATTGTTCAAGCAAGCTGTTATTATTGCATTGTTAGTCAAGAAGTTAGATTATTTGAGGATGTTTAGTCAGTCACTGTTTAAGTCAAGTCGAGTCTTACTGAGACATAACGAACAACTTTGAGCACATACACACATTCTCACACGCTTGTAGATACTAACATTATTTTTATAGTTGATGATAAAGTACCAGACTTAAGAGCCATAAAGAGATGAAATGTGCCTTCAGCACTATACCACTGTACAATTTCTCTTTGCTTTACAAGAGATGTGTAGGAGCTTATATCCTTAATTATATGAATAGCTTTTACTTTGATTTTGTCCACCTAGACTACTTTAACTATTAATAAACTTATCAAATTTTATTTCTTTAATTAGTATCCTATCAGTTGCAATCCTGAAGCATTATTAAAACCTATTGTAATTCTAATGGATAATTGGACCAGTATACTGACTACAGTGGACCCCCGCATAACGATTACCTCCGAATGCGACCAATTATGTAAGTGTATTTATGTAAGTGCGTTTGTACGTGTATGTTTGGGGGTCTGAAATGGACTAATCTACTTCACAATATTCCTTATGGGAACAAATTCGGTCAGTACTGGCACCTGAACATACTTCTGGAGTGAAAAAATATCGTTAACCGGGGGTCCACTGTACTTGTTACAAAAACCCAGAAACAGGCTGAATGCTATAGGGGCAGACCTTCTAGTGTTCTCTGGAGATGTCTATAATTTATAGATATCGCATTTTTTGCAACAGCAAATAATTTTAGAGTGGTATATATCTGTACAATGTACACAGCCCCCATAACATACTGAAATCTTTAAACCAACCCTAAGCACGAGGTGTGCCTGTACAGTATATGTACGTATTTGGAAATTCACACACTTGGAATGAATTCAGAAGTGTACAGGATTTTGTGCCAACTTCTGGTGACAGATATGATAATGGACTAACGGTAGCAATCGATATGTCTGCACCTCGATAAGATTAAAGCTGTTCAAATCTATAAGGCTTCTCAAATATAGTCTGTTTTGCACTAGTCACCCAGTCACCTGTGACACATATCTACTGAATGCTTAATCACTGTCTAAGAATAGTAAAGGCCACAATTGGTAACTGCAAATTTTGGAACCTGGCGTTATATTTTCCATCTCGCATATGATGAGCAAGTATTTACTGTACACGGTGAGGTACTTTCATTCAGTACATTGTTACCACTTTCTCTTTGGTATATACTGAATTAGTTATCATGACTAACCTCATTTTTTAATAAATTAATTTTCAAGCACAAACTACTGATGACTTTTCACTTATTTCAAAGTTAAAATATTATGATGAACCATTATAAAATCTACTAACCCTTACTGGTTTTCAATATGATTAACTGTTATAAAAATCTACTAACCCTTACTGGGTTGTCAACCATTAGTGAAATGGAAGTCAAAACTGAGGAAGATTTTAACCAAGCACTTTAAGCTGTTTACAAACAAAAGGTAATCTATGCAAGTACAATAAGATAAACTTTTGTCTTTCCTCAGAGCACTTTATATATAAACTTACCTATAATAAGGCCTGCCATAGTGGAGAGGTACCCTGTGCCAGAGCCCAGATTGAGGAACGAGTGTCCAGGTGCTAATTGAAGGCCTTCCATCACCTAATAGACAGCCCAGAAACTATTAGCACAGTATCTAAAATTCTGTGGTAACAGCAAAATTAAATCATACACATAATGATAATGCTCTACTCAAAAAATCTGTACACCAAAAATATTATTTATATTGTAGTACATAAATCTTTAATGTCTTTTCAGTAATTTTAAGACGTTTGCCAGTCTTCAGCTACAGAATTATTACAATATTATATCTACAGAACATGAAATACCGAACTTGCGTGGGTCATTCAGCACGAGGATTACTGGAGGTTTGATCCTCCATTTACTAATTGTAAGACAGATAAACATGTTCTAACAGCCAAGTTTTCCTTCTCTCAACCATACAGTATTGAGCCTGCAAGTATTCCTTTGAGTTTACACACTGAAAACAATTCTGAATACAGGATTTCAATGTATAGTATTTATGTAAGCCCATAAAACACCTGTATCTGATACCACCTTGGGAAAATGGCCAATGAGGTAAAAAAAAAAAAAGTGCAATACAGTGGTACCTCGGGATACGAACAGCTCAAACTCGAACAATTATGTAAGTGTATTTATGCAAGTGCTTTTGTAAATGTATTTTTGGGGGTCTGAAATGGATTAATCTAATTTACATTATTCCTTATGGAAACAAATTCATTCAGTATCGGCACTTGAACAGCCTTCTGGAACGAATTAAGTTCGTATCCCGAGGTACCACTGTACAGGATTCTTTGATAAAATATTTATAAACTGAAAATTAATTAAGGTCTATACCACATTATTCTTAAGGAAGTCATCCTAGTTTATGTCAATTGAACAGAAGTTGGAAGCCAAGTTCTCTGAAAAAATCCTGTTTATCAGTTTTTTAGGCTACTGGATCTTAACTGCATAATTTAATTAGGTCAATGGTTAGTTATAGAATGACCATTTTTAAATACAAAATTTACATTTTTTCATATCCCAGAATAAAACTAATACAGCTCATACATCCCAAACACCAATGTTGTATTGCAAAGATATTCAGCATAAGGCTAAGAGAAACTGATAAATATATAAGATATATACAGGAGGGGTCTTAACTAACAAACGAGTTGTGGTCTGGAACTTGTATATCAAATGTTCAGCATCTGGAACCTATTTTCCCACAGAAACCCATTGTATGAAGGAGGGTAAGTTTACCCAGTAAATTACCTTTGATATGCCTTGTCAATGACAAATAATAACAAGAGCAAGAGTCATCATCCCACAGCTGCATACTCAGTCATGTAATGTAAGCTACTGTAGCAACAATACTGTGGACACATACAGGATAGGAGGTTCAGAAGTAAAGGGGTCTTCTGTATGTACATACTATACATTAGTATTATGTATGAATATTCTCACTCTCCTTAATTACTTATTTTTTAAAATTACCATAATGTAAATAACTTTTCAGCACTATGTAAAAATAACCAATTTATACATTACTCCATAGTCAACAACTTGTATAAATAGTACAGTATTTAACATTTCATTATGTCAGGAGAAATGACATCACAATTTTTTTCTTTTTTATCCAACAACTTAATTCCAAATATATCTGGAAAAATTTTGGGCATCTGCTTACTGTTACTCATTAGTTTTCACCATTGTATAACTAGTATAAAAGTATAGTATAAATGGTAGTACAGTATAAGGAAATGGTTAAAACTAAGTTCTTGAAAGAAAGGATTTCCGATCCACAATTGTAGTAAATGGAAAAGCAATGAAGTTTTGTTTCTTTAAGTATTGCAGCCAGCAGTAACAGCCTGGTTGATCAGACCCTGATCCACCACGAGACCTGGTCTCAGACCAAGCCGCGGGGAAGTTGACCCCTGAAATCCTCTCCAGGTAAACTCCAGGTTTCTAAAATGTTAATTTTTCTCATTTACTCAGACATTTAAATATGGTGACCTAAAACTAGGGTTAAGAGGTAACTTTGCCAAGTGAGTACATGATACAATAGTTTATGACAAACTTCATATTGATATCATTTTTAATAATTCAAGTAATGTATATTATTACTTTAAATGTAATCCATAATAAAGTTTATACACCTCAAATGTAAAAAAAATCCTTTGGAAGGTTACAAAACTATCTCATGCCAAAAAATAACCTACCTTTGCATAAATGCAGGGAGCTGATAAATGCAAATTTCCCTTTTTCCATGCATTATCTCTGTAAGCTTGTTCACGATTTTCTGCAGTGAAATAATTTCCACGATCTACAGCTCTGAAAATTCGTTCGAGCAATGGTGTAGTTATGTAACTGGCAGCTTTGAGGTTGTCAACTAGGTCATCATTGTCCACACCGGCACTCACCGCTCCCCCCATCTTTAATTCTCTCACTAAGGAAAGTGTGCTTAGCCTTGTCAATCCAGATCTTACTCTGCACTGCAATGCTATAACATTCTTTTCCAAGTAATGCAGCTAGTCAGAATTTTACTGGAAAAAAAAATGAAATTAATCTTGAATAGTATATAATTATATATTAGTAATTATGCTACTTATAAATAACTCGCAGGCAATAAATATTAACCAAACTGGTATTTATCCAGTTTATTCAGTTTTCTGATACCTGACTACCAATGACTATATTCCTTAAGGAAAGTGTATACCACAGACACAATAATGTGATAAAAAAATTATGATAAAATACAGTAATATAGAAAACTAATCTCATAAGTGTGAGAAAGATCATAATATAGATGCCACTCATTACTCTCCTATCCTAACAGTAATTTATGTCTTGCAGCAATTTTTGCTTTCTACTGTTTAATTATTCTCTTAATCACTTATACTGTGCCTACTACTTTGGCTTGCTTCTCCAGTTTCCAAAGGAGCCTTCTACATGGAACCTTTTCAAAAGCTTTCTTATAATTTATGAAAATGTATTCTAACTATTCCTCTTTCATGTTTGACCTCTGTCAACTTTAAATCTTTTTGTGAGGTATGACACTCAACTTCTGAATCCATGTTGGTTTTCTGTAAGGAATTTAGTGCATTCTACATGTTAAAAAGTCTTTTAATATGAGTTAAATTTAAGGGCACTGACCTGTAGTTTATGGCTTCCTCCCTGTCACATTTTATAAATACTGGTACGGTTTCTGATTTGCTATGCTCTATTCATCTAACATTTCACCCATCATTAATAATTTTTTAAAATTCTGCAGGAGTGGCCTGCACAGTATTTCAGCTCATTCTTTTAATATTCCAGGTGCACTTATAGAATGTGTTTGTGGGGCTTAAATCTCCACTCCAGCATTATTAGTTTCTGGTCTCTTAGATCCTCTCAGTTATCATAATTACTGTATAATCACAGGAGAAGTACTAAACCAACAGAGGTCATACAGCACATAGGGAATGGAAGTTAAGTAGGTCTTATAAATGGAATGGGAAAATAAATCCACTTTCTTTGATGAACTCTGCTCCTAAAGCTGTATATGACATTTGACTCTACAAACTCCAGTTCACTCATATTTCTTATCACACTAAGTCTAAAAAAAATATTTCTACCTAACATTCCTATGGCTCATGTTTTCAACTTGCACCTAAAACCATAGCCCCTGTTCTTCAAATTTCAAACATTCTGTACTTCTTTGCCTTGTCAAAACCTCCTTGTATCTTCTGCATCATAATCATGTCTTCCCTGAGCATTCTCATTTGTTGTAATTTAATGATTTGTTCCCCAAGTTTCTCTTGTATGAGGCAAGAGAGCATGCATTTCATTCTTAATCTATTGGCAACTTGATAAATTAGTCAATTAGTATTATGCTCAGAAGCACTGAACCTGTATGTGTCATGCTGCACCTGAGGAAAGAGGTAGTTGACAACACACAAGGTAGTTGATATTGTCATCACTTTCATGGGACTGACAAAACAAGCTTATAGAGCCTGTAGTGGTATACATTTCTAGACCATTGATTTTTCAGTGGCTTGGTAAGAGCCAGGGACAGCAGTTTTGTCATACAGATGCTTCGTCCAGGTTTAATCCAAGGAAAGAACAGGTAGGTCCAATTCCTTGGATCAAAAGCCCTTCACTAACATAAAGGTACCACCCCTTTAAAGTGTTAAACTAATCTCGTAAGTTACGAATTTAAATGAAATTAGGAAATGTCACTTCACGAAGTTATCATAAAACAAACCAAATATGCATCATCTATTTTCCTCTCCCCCTTGGCTAGCCATCCAAGAACTAGAGTTATTTTCCCATTCCTTGGATCAAACTTAATTATCTCCCATTTCCCAGGCACTGTATCACTCCAACAGTTTTTTTTAATAATAATATATAATACTTATTATTATTTACAACACTATTTCCTGGTAGTTCAATAACTTTCATTACATTGCAATTTTGCAAGTCATTACTTTCCCAACGTTGCTTATCTATATTACTTTACCAACACTACTTAACTATCAGCATTTTCCTACTTCAACTTAATAAAACCAGAAACTAGGAGAATCAGACTTGTAAATTACACAGTACGTGGGAATGATAATGCAATATTAAGAGAAAAAAAGTATAATAACGCCAAATAAACCAGGGAGAATCAGATCTGTAAATTACATAATATATTGCGATGGAGAGGGAGAAAGCAATATAAGAGAGTGAAACAAGTATAATAACAGCGAGCACCGTCTGCGTCACCACAAACTTCCTCTCAGCTCTTTGTTGTCAAGCCAAATTGTCACCTTAATACATCTATTTTATGCGGTGAAGTCCACACCAAAGGGATATACCACCATGAAGGCATTGTACATATGCTGGCGGATGCATGAAAACTTACATCAGCGAGTATTCATGGCGATGTACCGGCGAAAACTCAAGAAACTATATATTGCGACTGAGCTAGATGATGTACCTCGCCATACGATCTGTTTTCCTCCGTCAGCTGCTCAGTGACGTCACACCGTATCAAAACATATCAGGTGTTCGCTTGAGTGTTATCAAATTATTATTTTCATTGTGATATGGATAATTTAAAGTATAATAAAATTGATCGCGGCTTGATTTATCCTTTAATGCCCAGATCAGGGATATATAAGAGCATTGGCGTTTGAAGAGAACCAAAATAATGATGCGATGTTGGTGAGTAGCAAATGAAGCCATGACACTGGCATGAGGACGAACGGGGAGCTGGGGGGCACGCGCGGGTCACGTGCACCACCAAAACATTACCCCGCGGTCCCTTTAAAAATGGCTTCGTCTAATTGTTATCCTCATTCCCTTTAACAAATGGCTTCGTCCACTTGTTGTTTTCTGTTAAAAAATGGCTTCGTCTATTTGTTCTACTCAGTCCCCTTAAAAATGGCTTCGTCTACTTGAAATTCTCATGTCCCTTTAAAAATGTCAACTTGTTACATATATTATCATCCAATAAAGGGCTCAACATACTCAACTTGTTACTGTCTCTTAAAAATGGCTGCGTCTATTTATCCTCAGTCTCTTTAAAAAGTGGCTTTGCCCACTTATCGTCCCTTACAAAATGACTTTGTCTACTTTCCTCAGTCCCTGTAAAAGTGGCTTCGTCTACTTATCCCGAATCCCTTTAACCCTTTGAGGGTCGACAGGCCCTCTCCGAAACTCGTTCTCAGGGTCGGCCAAATTTAAAAAAAAAAAAATTATTTTCTCTTATGAAAAGATAGAGAATCTTTTCCCGATCATAACGACACCAAAAGTTTGAAATTTGATAGAAAACTTACGGAATTATGCTCTCGCAAAGTTAGCGGTCTCAGCGATGTTTACGGATCGGCGATTTTGCCCACTTTGAGCCCCATTTTCGGCCAATTTCACTGTACTAGTCGACAAAAAACATGAATATTTCGCTAGAACTCCATTTTTTCTATCGAATGGGTGCAAGAAACCACCCATTTATAAATTCAACTATCCAGTACAGTGGTCAGAATTTAGCAATTTTGCCAATTTCACACAAATTTCAAAAGATGCCAATTTCGGAATAGGGTCCAGAATAAACAAGAAAGACATTCCTGGCACTAAAATGACATTTCCTCTAGTCATTAGTCACATCTCAAGGCCCCTCTTATATTCTTTTGCTTTCCACTTTGAATTTTTATTCTCACAAAAAATATAAGATTTACTGTTATGCAGACTACTGCATTAGTGTAAAAAATGGTATAAATATTATTGGTGCACTTGTGAAAGAATATTAGACTCACCAGTTGACGTGTATTGCACGCTTGGCACGATTTGTTTACTTTTGAAGTTTGGTAAAAATCGAACATTTCTGCTACTTTGAGCTCAATTTCAAGGCACCTTTCTTTGTAAAACCAGTCAAAATCATCTCAATTTCTGTAGTATGTCTTCCATTCTATAAAATGAGACCAAGAAAACTAGAATACAACAATAAATACCATACGAAAATACACTGCAAAGTCGCTGATTTATTAAAAAAAAATGGAAAAAGTTTTTTTTTTCTCATTATGCACTGTGTGCTGCAGGATTTTTTTTAGACTGTGCACACTGACCACATAGACCCATTCTTTCATATGAAGGCCTACGAGCTTTCTCCCACTAGATTTGAGGTCGCTAGAATTTATGAGTACTAGTATGTCAAAAACCCCTACGCGTAAGACGTACTAGTACGACGAAAACCCTCAAAGGGTTAAAAATGGCTTCATCCACTGATCTTATCCCTTTCAAATAGCTTCATCCACTTGTAATTTTATCCCTTAAAATGGCTTCATCTACGTGTCCTCGGCCCCCTTAAAAAATGTCTGTCAACTTTTTTGTCCCACTATTATAATCAAGGGGAAGCTCTAAACCCATAGGATTATACAGCGTCTGTGGGGAGATGTAGGCGTTCAGGCTTAGTTCAGGGAACTGGAGCACAGATCCAATTCCCTAGATCAAGAGCCCCTCACTGGCATCAAGGAACCTTCCTTGAGGGGACTGTCCCTTTAAATTGGCTTCATCTATTTTTAATTCTTACTCTTATAAAAATAGCTTCGTCAACATGTTATTTCGCTGTCCTTTTAAAAGATGACCACATGCACTTACTTTCAATGTATATATACCCAAAACAACTGGGTAACTCAGTTACCAATCGCCACAAGTGGCAAACTGGCTCTCAGTGTGGCAATTTGAGTTTGTTGTATGTTGGCTCTGATAAAATATATTATAATCAAAAAGAAGCGCTAAGCCACAAGGGCTATACAGTGCTGCTGATAAAATATAAAATTTTTCCCCTGACAGCTTGTGATGATCGTAACTTGACATTGCGTTTTCTCCCTTTTAAAAATTTGGCATCATTCTTCAGTCACATAGATGTGGAGATAAATTCTGACTGATAAGGATCTGCCAAATTCAAAATTATTGTCTTTATTTTGATCATTGTGGGTGTGTGAATCAACATTCTCAATGACCGGATTCATCAACTTAAAATTCAGATCTGGAATTGTTGAGCCTCTCTTCTTACCTATGCATAATTGTTTCTGGCTCTTCTTTTCACCACCTTGTTTTCCTAAGTTCTTTGCCTTCTATATTTTGTCCATGCTCCACCACATTTACCTTTAGCTTCTCTTCACCTCTGGGAAAACCATGGGTTCACTCTGCTCTTTCCATTGCTTCTTTCTGCTCCTTGGTATTTCTCCTCTACCTCCCAACACTTTCAGCTATACTCAATCTCATTCACTGTCTTCCCTTCTAGTTCACTTTCCCACTACACCAAGTTCAGGAATTACCTCATGCCTGTGTATTTTCCTCTTTGGAAGTTTGACTTCTCTCTCAAAAGTTTACTCCCACAAAGTATTCAGAACTCAGGACCATGTGGTCATTAGCACCAAGGAACCTTTCAAATTCAATATCCCCTTTGTGGCAAGTGATCAGGGTGAATACAGGGCCTAGCCTTGCTGATTCATCCTCTCCTTTCTCTCTGGTTGTGTCCTTGACATGTTGGTGCATCATGTACTCCAGTACCACCCTCAGCATCTTAGCCCTCTATTTTTGGTCCCCTATGTATTTGCAGACTCTTCCCACCAATCTTGAGATTTAATTTTCCTATAAATAGCAGCTTTGCACTGTGGGGGAGAGGGGGCAGGAAAGGGAGAGGGTGACAAAAAAAAGATAAAGGAAGGGAAGGGAGGGAGAGAGAGAGACAGAGAAATAAAAAGAAAAAGTTTTTGTATATTTTTTCCCAGGAAGCAAACATGTCAACTGATTTAGAGCAAATAACCAAAAGCAAGCAGTCAGCAGACAAATGCATTTTATTTTACTTTGAAATAAAAATATTTATATCTTAGGGCAACTTTTAATGTTCAAAATTATATACAACATATTTTGAGCATTTTGTGTAAACAGGAAATAATGTGGATTATCTGAATATACTATTGTAAAATAAGATGAACACAGTTGTGAATCTTGATAAACTATTATTATAATAATGGAAAGGGCTTAACCCAAAAGGTAAAAAAAAAAAAAAGTATATATAACCATTTGTCTACAGGGAAGAGAGAAAACCCTAACTATATCCCCTAGAATTTTTTATGGTTGGTGTACAACAAAATGCAAATGATAGCCAGTAAATTCAGTGATATTTCAGAACAAAAAAATATGTTTTTTTACTGTCCTGAACTATAAATATTTCATACTAAACCTATTGACATCCCTTCCAATGGTTTCCAACAGAAATGAAGATGCAGACAATGGTAGCAATGACTGACAATGTTCAACTTTGTCTTTTAAGAAAAAATGCATACCATAAGCCCCACACCAAAAATAAATTGTACAAATATTAATCTGAGATAATATAACATTAGCTAGATAGCTAATTGCTCAATGTGTTTATTCTTTTTATCATCTTTCAAGAATGGAATTATCAAAATAATGTTCAACTTCAGTATTTTGGTCAATATAATGTGCATGTCACATTGAATACCTAAAATAGTATTACAGTAGGACCTCCGTATTCACGGGTCAAGTATGTCCGGTTATAGTTATCCGCGGTTTACCGTGGCCCAAAAATAAAGTGCAAGAATAGTGATGGTGAAGTTCTTCAAAGCCTACGAGAAGCTGTGAAGTGCTTCCCATCAGTGAAAATCATAATTCTCCACTTATTGTGCATAATTTATCAATTAAACTTTATGATAGGTATGTATGGAAATGAAAAAGACTTGTACATAGGATTTGCTACTATCCACAGTTTTGGTATCCGTGGCAGGTCCTTGGAACGTATCCGCCGCAAATACTGGAGTCCTACTGTATATCTGAAGAAAAAAACATGGTATGAATTGAATTAGCCAAAATATGACTAGAGTATATAAATGGAATTTGTTTTTAAACTAGTTAAGTCTACCAATATTTGCACTGGAATTCCTAAAACTATATAACTGAATTAATAAATAAGTAATAATCAAAAAGTAATTTGAAATGATCTGGAACGAAATGAAGAAGGTATTAATTTACATAAAAAATATTCTTTGCAGTTTAAAACTCATGCACAGATACCCTCACATCTTGAGTGAACTGAGACAGACATTCAAGCATACATTCATGCAATCATACATAGTGAAAAAATCTATAATGCAGAAAATGATGATTTTTTTTCCATATATGTACTATTCATTAGCTTACTCCATTTTCAAATACACAAGACCAGTAGGTGCATCAGGTCTCACAAAGGAACTAAAACATAGTTATCTATACAACAATATATAGTCAGGGTTAAAAAATCAAAGTTTCTTGTATCTCTTGCATGCCAACATGCAAATATATTTTGTAGCAGTATGCTCAAGCAAATTCCTTTTGCTGTTGTCTTCAATATTGTTTCAATTTCTGCTTCTTAAAATATGCCATAATCCAGTCATACAAATCTAATTTCAAGTCCATATACAATTACAGAACACTCAAATATTTGCTGAAGTCTGATATACTGTGCTAATGTGTACAAGTGCAAATTTGCTCTTAATTAAAACAGGTAAAAATCTTGATATAAAAAAAATATAAACACATATACATCTAGCAATGAATAAGTACCATATATTATCAGCCATAAATTGATTTGGGCCATAAGGCTGAGGAAGGAGGGGATGGGTATACATCTTCGCTCAGATATCTATTTTCATAACCCCAAGTATAAGACAGTGACATATTTTCAGTCCTTACATATGGGAGTAAATTAAGCTTTTTCTGCATCACCTGTCAACATATGCAGTGTTTGCATACTCCTAGGATACCATATAATTTATCATCATAAAGAGCCACTAATTACAGTAGACCCTCGAGTTTCGAACTTTCTTTGTTCCAGACAGCTGTTCAAGTGCTGTTACCGATCGAATTTCTTCTCATCAGGAATAATGTAAATCAGATTAATCTGTTTCAGACTCCCAAAAATGCACTTACACAAGCACTTACAAAAATACACTTACATAATTGGTCGTGTTGGGAGCGGTTCTAAACTCAAGGGTCCATTGTGCCTATTTCTTGCACAGCAATCAATACAGTGATTTTAAATCCTCTGTATCACCAGGGCTAAAAAGTAAAGATACTGGAGATACTGCTTGTATATAGGTTCTGGTCATGCCAATACATGGGGGATTTGACCAATGGCAAGAGGGATTCTACCAACAGCACTGTCATATTTTCATTCCAGTAATTCAAATTTTAAATTCATGTTAGTAAAGCACCCCTCCAATTATAATCAACACTGCAGTGACATTTTTTTATGTGGACATATGCTCAGCAGTAACCTGAATTGTTGGAATCACTTGTTTTGAAAGTGAAGAGCCTACTATGGATAAATCAATTGTTTCCTGCATGAATGGTGAACTATGCACTATTTATACATTCTCTGCTTTCCTGTCTGCATAATCAGGGTTAAAATGAGAAGAACTGGGATATAAAGTCAATACAGTTATGTACAGTATATTGTTCATAAGATTGGATGCTAAACTTGAATTTTGAAATAAGTACACTTGTGAGGCTGGGCTGCCGCTGTCAGCAATGTTGACATACACTCCTCCCTCCCTTCCCTTTCTTATATCTTAAAAGTGATAAAATTGACATTTTAGATGTTTTATTTACCTAAAATTATGAATTAAATAGTTTATGTTTGCAAAACTGTACTGATAGTCAATCTCCAAGCACTGAGATTGATTAGGAGCCACTTGGGGCCTACAGTTCCCTTCAACCTGGCAATAACATGGCAGTGATGATAGAATGAATACTTTTTCATTATTTTGATAAATTTTTTTATATTTTTTTGGGTGGTTTGCACTCACAAGACAAAAACAGAAGATATTTCTCTGAGCATATTTATTAAAAAAAAAAAATTGTCTTATGGCTGATAATATAAGGAAATCAGTCATGCTAGTAACTGATACAATGCATGTCATATCAGTGGTAAGACACATTAAGCTCAGTGACCACTCCGACAAAATGAACACAATGCTTACCTCTTCTAATTGGTTGTAAACATGAAGCACCCATGACTGTTCATCAGCAAATGGGTAGTCTACCCCTTGATACAAAAATATCAATACCTTGAATATTTTAGGCATTTTACAATTCTAAACTGAATAACACAAACCCTTCAGGTCACTCAAGTTACTATAAATCCGAGATCTTATATTTTAAAACATCTAAAGTACATTCAGTGACAGGATAGAAGTTTCTTAGCCTGAGGTTTCAGTATCTTGAGGTTTAAGTCCTCGAAGAGACAAGTTGTAGACAACCTCTTCAGTTTTCTTCAGAGAATATTTGAGCTCATCAAATTTTTTTCGTAATTCATTTTTAGGAAAAAGCAGAGAATAGGCTGAATGTAGATCTCTCAAAAACTGACGTATCTGGAATGGCCGAGAGTAATCTCCTGAAATAAATAAAAATTTGCACATTTTAACAGTTTTATTTTACCCTCTCCTTATATCATCTTATCTGAGTATCTTTCCTATTAAACATTTAATACCCCAAATATATAATATCCTTCAACTTCAACTATATTCTGCCATTCACAGTGCCAAATCATAGTTTAAACCAATCCAGTTGAGAAGGTATGGAAAGCTGCATTTGGCAGTTTCCTGCTGGAGGGAAAGGCAGTGTTAGAGCTGGACACATTATCCCTATACATACTTGATATCACCCAAAATTGCAATACAAATTAAATACATTCGCACCTGCACTAACTGAATTGATGGCAAGCCTTGAAAGTTCATGACTAATACTGAGAGTGCCCTGGAGGTAGTCCTCGAGGTCCAAGTGGAAACCTTTTTCTCGTTGTGTACACAAACCCAAGGATTTTGCCACCTCTTCATGAGGCGGTAGGCTGTATGGAAAAACAATTTATTACTGAACAATATTATTATGAGAAAGTCAATTATTCTGCAAATTCTTAAAACAAAATATAAATAGTGATAATTTTATGCATATGATACATAGTATCATTATACATAGCATGTACTGTATGTTAAATAATTTTCCTATATAAAAAAAAGAGCTTGAAAATTTACATTCTAAAACAGAATACGTATTTTCATCAGTAATAACCCAAATGATTATAACTATGACTACAATTTTTAAACGGGGGTGAACCGTAAGCCAGCGGAAGGCCTTGATCAGATGACCAAAAAACTCCAGCTGTGGGCCATCATATGACTTAGACCAGCATCAGGAAACACTTGTCCAGTTTCCTGACAAACTTTACCAAACCAGTAATTCTATTATTTGGTTAAAATAAAGTGAAACTTATCACAGCTCATTTATTCACAGAATTCTGTATTAATGCTGTGTTCCACTAGATGGTCCCAGAAACAAACTTGTCCAAGTACTCTGCTCCAGTCACTGACATCCCACATATCAAGATCTTTCAAATAGTTTTAAGAAGCAAGTTTGCTAAACACAAAGAATCACAAGAGCTGCTCAACCCTGGGCAACATGAGTTTACAGTTGGTCACTCCTGCCTTTTGTAATGGCTGGACCTTTGCAACATGGTCTTGAATCAATTGGAAAACAAAACAAAATGCAGATGTAGTATATATAGTTCTGTTCTTCAAGGCATAGCACTTGCCTCAATACTCATTCGCATATCCAACACAGAGACAGTCATAACAAAGTATAATCCTTTAAGGCAATACTAGAATTTGAAAAAGTGCCATCCACTGAGGATTTGGCAAATCTCCAATTTGATATAAACCAGGTCTTCTAGTGAGCCACAGAAAACAATATGATGTTCAAGGTAGACAAAAACTGAAAAATTGAAATGAAGAAATAATGACAATAGCCAAGCATAAAACAAATTCAAAGTACACTCAATACAGCAGAAGAGGAATATGAGGAATTTAGAGAAACATGAAATCTTACGTTTAAGTATAACTGTTGCTATCGCAAATAAAAGGAAATAAGCTGTACAACCAGTCTTCAAAACAAGAGATGCCAAGCCAATGATCACCAACCAGTCCTAGTCTGGGAATGGGCCATGGGGGGCAGCAACCCCCAGAATCAGCTAACTTTCAGCTTCTGGAATATTCACAGTCATCACTGGTTCTGTCCCCGAAGCAGTTAGTATGCCATCAATGAAAAAGAAATCTATTTCATATAATGTACAGGTACATTTTACTTATTTTGTTATGAAATATTTAGCCAAATCAAGATACAATGAGTGGTGCACTGTTGTCAAGGATGCTTGCCTGAGCACCACAGCCTGCCTCTGAGTTGCCAAACCCACAGTATTTTGGTCTTGGGTCATATGTACGTATTTCTCTTCTACACTTGTTATTGTAATTATAGTGCTCTTATTTGGATGTTACTACAGCACCTACACTACACTTCATCATTATTGCATAATATAGTGCCTGGGAAATGGGAAGCAATCAAATCGGACGTCAAGGGAGGGCAGCTCCAATTCCATGGAACAAGAGTCTGTGGACTAAAATCACAAGGGTATTAAAAGAGGACAACATCAAAGCTGCTTTCATAGAAAACCTGGAAGCTTTCTACAACAGATGGGAACATAAAAAGTCTGGGCTGAATGGTACTGCCCTTGATACTGGCCATGTAGTCACAAACTGTAAGGCTGGAGGTGATGTCCTGGTAGTCAGTAAATGTGGGGCTGATAGTGCTGTCCTGGTAGACAGTAATGGTGAAGCTGGAGGTGCTGTCCTGGGAGACAGAAATGGTGAAGCTGGAGATACTGTCCTGGGAGACAGTAATGGTGAAGCTGGAGATTTTGTCCAGGTAGTCGGGAATTATACGCAGGAAGGAATGCATATAAATGACCTCATAGGGGACAGGAGCCATAGTAGGGAAACAAGTGTAGTCAAAGATAAGATAAAACCAATATTGCAAACTAGAAATACCGCAGGAAATAGCAAACAGGAGGACTCCAATAGCAATAGTGAGGATAAATTACCAAAAACAACTGGTGGGAGCTCCATTGTTGGTGCTAGGGAGGATAGAAGTAAGACAGGGAAACATGCACCAACAGGGAATACAGTCACAGAAACCCAAGGCAAGCGGAAACCAAGCCTGTGCACATACTATGCACTTGGTATCTGCTGGCATGGGAAATCTGGAAAAACAGATGGGACATGCAACTATGACCACCCTAGAAAATGCCATGCCCATATGACAACAGGAAAATGCAAACTCCCTTCCTGTAAGCTTTTTCACCCTGAAATGTGTACCTCTTCAGTACAGGAAAGACTGTGCTATAACTTAAATTGCCAGGCATACCATCTAAAGGGGACAAAAGATACAAAACATCCAGGCCATGGGAAAACCTGGGTAGCCACAGCCACTCAAGAGGGAGAGGTTTTTTAGTGCCAGGAAGGAAAAAAAACTGGCAGGAAATGGCAGAAATCGTACACCAAATCCAGTCATTCCTGGAGTGGAACCACAGTCGATGGCCTCCACTCCAAACCAACAGATACAGATACTAATGCCGGAAAAAAAATCCCCCCCAGTACCAATAATACCACCAGTCCGATAACATTCTTCTTTGCAAATATACAGGGTCTAAAGCCAGCAACAAACAACAAAATACCTTTCATCCGTGGACTGCTTGCAGAGGCAAAGGCAATGTTCGCGGCTTTCACTGAGACCCACATAAAGGATCACTTGGACAACGAAATATGGATCCCAGGTTACAACCTATACAGATGTGACAGAGTGAACAGGCAAAAGGGGGGGGTTGGCCTGTACATTGCAGAGTCACTTGTTTGCACAGAACTGCTTAATGCCTCAAATGATGTAGTGGAAGTTTTAGCAGTAAAGGTCGAGAACCAAAACCTAGTCATTGTGGTAGTCTACAAGCCTCCGGATGCAACATCCCAGCAATTCCAGGAACAGCTGTTAAAAATTGACCACTGTCTAGAAAATCTTCCAGCTCCTGCACCCAACATCTTGCTCCTGGGGGACTTCAACTTAAGGCACCTAAAATGGAGGAATATAGCAAATAATATTGTTGCAGTAATAACACCAGGAGGCAGCTCTGATGAAAACTCACACTCACACGAGCTTTTAAATCTCTGCACAAAATTCAATTTAAACCAGCAAATAATAGAGCCTACTAGACTGGAGAATACACTAGACCTCATCTTCACTAACAATGATGATCTGATAAGAAATGTCACCATATCAAAAACAATATACTCAGATCACAACATAATTGAGGTTCAGACATGTATGCGTGGAGCCCCAGACCGACAAAATGAGACTAGTCACGAGGGAGCATTCACCAAATTCAACTTCAATAACAAAAACATAAAGTGGGACCAAGTAAACCAAGTCCTAACCGATATAAGCTGGGAAGATATACTAAGCAACACAGACCCCAACTTATGCCTAGAACAGATTAACTTGGTGGCACTCGATGTATGCACAAGGCTTATTCCTCTAAGAAAAAGGAGGAGTAGATGTAAAATAGAAAGAGACAGGCGCTCCCTTTACAGGCGACGGAAAAGAATAACAGAGCGGCTAAAAGAGGTCAATATATCTGAAATGCGCAGGGAGACACTGGTCAGAGAAATAGCAAGCATCGAACTTAAGCTAAAAGAATCCTTTAGGAGTCAGGAATCGCGGGAAGAACTAAAAGCCATAAATGAAATCGAAAGAAACCCAAAGTATTTCTTCTCCTATGCCAAATCAAAATCGAGAACAACGTCCAGTATTGGGCCCCTACTTAAACAAGATGGGTCCTACACAGATGACAGCAAGGAAATGAGTGAGCTACTCAAGTCCCAATATGACTCAGTTTTTAGCAAGCCGCTAACCAGACTGAGAGTCGAAGATCAAAATGAATTTTTTATGAGAGAGCCACAAAATTTGATTAACACAAGCCTATCCAATGTTATCCTGACGCCAAATGACTTCGAACAGGCGATAAATGACATGCCCATGCACTCTGCCCCAGGGCCAGACTCGTGGAACTCTGTGTTCATCAAGAACTGCAAGAAGCCCTATCACGAGCCTTTTCCATCCTATGGAGAGGGAGCATGGACACGGGGGTCGTCCCTCAGTTACTAAAAACAACAGACATAGCCCCACTCCACAAAGGGGGCAGTAAAGCAACAGCAAAGAACTACAGACCAATAGCACTAACATCCCATATAAAAATCTTTGAAAGGGTCCTAAGAAGCAAGATCACCACCCATCTAGAAACCCATCAGTTACACAACCCAGGGCAACATGGGTTTAGAACAGGTCGCTCCTGTCTGTCTCAACTACTGGATCACTACGACAAGGTCCTAAATGCACTAGAAGACAAAAAGAATGCAGATGTAATATATACAGACTTTGCAAAAGCCTTCGATAAGTGTGACCATGGCGTAATAGCGCACAAAATGCGCGCTAAAGGAATAACAGGAAAAGTCGGTCGATGGATCTATAATTTCCTCACTAACAGAACACAGAGAGTAGTCGTCAACAGAGTAAAGTCCGAGGCAGCTACGGTGAAAAGCTCTGTTCCACAAGGCACAGTACTAGCTCCCATCTTGTTCCTCATCCTCATATCCGACATAGACAAGGATGTCAGCCACAGCACCGTGTCTTCCTTTGCAGATGACACCCGAATCTGCATGACAGTGTCTTCCATTGCAGACACTGCAAGGCTCCAGGTGGACATCAACCAAATCTTTCAGTGGGCTGCAGAAAACAATATGAAGTTCAACGATGAGAAATTTCAATTACTCAGATATGGTAAACATGAGGAAATCAAATCTTCATCAGAGTACAAAACAAATTCTGGCCACAAAATAGAGCGAAACACCAACGTCAAAGACCTGGGAGTGATTATGTCGGAGGATCTCACCTTCAAGGACCATAACATTGTATCAATCGCATCTGCTAGAAAAAATGACAGGATGGATAATGAGAACCTTCAAAACTAGGGAGGCCAAGCCCATGATGACACTCTTCAGGTCACTTGTTCTATCTAGGCTGGAATATTGCTGCACTCTAACAGCACCTTTCAAGGCAGGTGAAATTGCCGACCTAGAAAATGTACAGAGAACTTTCACAGCGCGCATAACGGAGATAAAACACCTCAATTACTGGGAGCACTTGAGGTTTCTAAACCTGTATTCCCTGGAACGCAGGAGGGAGAGATACATGATTATATACACCTGGAAAATCCTAGAGGGACTAGTACCGAACTTGCACACGAAAATCACTCACTACGAAAGCAAAAGACTTGGCAGACGATGCACCATCCCCCCAATGAAAAGCAGGGGTGTCACTAGCACGTTAAGAGACCATACAATAAGTGTCAGGGGCCCGAGACTGTTCAACTGCCTCCCAGCACACATAAGGGGGATTACCAACAGACCCCTGGCAGTCTTCAAGCTGGCACTGGACAAGCACCTAAAGTCAGTTCCTGATCAGCCGGGCTGTGGCTCGTACGTTGGTTTGCGTGCAGCCAGCAGCAACAGCCTGGTTGATCAGGCGCTGATCCACCAGGAGGCCTGGTCACAGACCGGGCCGCGGGGGCATTGACCCCCGAAACTCTCTCCAGGTAAACTCCAGGTAAACTAAGCACCATATAATCATTTAAGCACACCACTGCAGTTTATAAATCATTGGTATTAAGCAACAATTCTCACTAAAACTGATAATTTTCAATTTTTTTTTATTACACATCGGCCATTTCCTACTGAGGCAGGGTGACCCGAAAAGGAAGAAACACTTTCAGCATTATTCACTCCATCACTGTCTTGCAAAAGATTCACCTACACTACAGTTAAAATACTGCAACACATCAACACCCCTCCTTTAGTGTAGGCACTGTACAGTGGTCCCTCAATAATCGTCCAGCCTGAAAGCCATCCATTTCGGAAATAGTCCCGTTATTTCGTCTAAACATTGGCTTGCAAATGGTCCGTTAACTCGCTAATCGTCTTTCATCCTAGATGTGTACTCACGGCTCTGAGCCGTTCCCAGCCAGTGTGCTATTGTTTACCAGTGAGCGACGGTCCCCTCACATGCTCATACGAAATATTTCATAATATTCCATTCATTTTAGTGCTTGCAAGTGCTAAATAAGCTACCATGGCTCCAAAGAAAGCTCCTAGTGCCAAACCTTTGGTAAAGAAGGTGAGAAACACGACTGAATTTAAGAAAAACATCACTGAACAATATGAAAGGAGCAAGAGTTTCAGCAGGAAGAGCAACAGATCGCAGCTCAGAATCTTGCTGCAGAGGAGGAAGAGAGATGGAAGAAGGTGTCTTCTTCAGAAATTAAGGAGATTTTTGAAATGTGGGGTAGGATGGAAAGATTTATGGAGAAACATCACCCTGAGAAGGATGTTGCAAGCCATGTCAGCAACTTGTACAGTGACAGAGTCTTGGCCCATTTTAGGGACGTTTTAAAGAGACGCCAGAAATAGAGCTCTCTGGACAGTTTTTTTGCGAGACAGGACTCCAGTGACTCTCAAGCTGGTCCTAGTGGCATTAAGAAACAGAGAAGAGAAGTAACCCCAGAAAAGCACTTGGTACCTGAGGTGTTGATGGAAGGGGATTCCCCTTCCAAACAGTAACTAATCCAATCTCTCTCCTCCTCCAGGCTTCCATACACTAAGAAGAATCGCCAATAAAGGTAAGTGTTATGCTGTTAATGTTTCATTCATCATGTGCCATTGTATTGTTTATGTACTACATCTATATTTCATGTAAAATTTTTTTTTGTTTTACTATTACTGGGTGTCAGGAACGGATTAATTGTATTTACATTATTTCTTATGGGGAAAATTGATTCAAAAATCGTCTATTTCGATAATAGTCCCACTTCCAGAAACGGATTATGGACGATAATTGAGGGACCACTGTACTTCCCAACTTCAGGATCTGAATCATTATGCATACTTTGCATCACACAATTTGATATATACTGTATTTGCACTTATTTACTATATATTTTTGTTACTCCATGGGGAAGTGGAACAGAATTCTTCCTCTGTAAGCCATGCATGCCATAAGAGGCAACTAAAATGCCGGGAGCAATGGGCTAGTAACCCCTTCTCCTGCATACATTACCAAATTTAAAGAGAAGCTTTTGTTTTCCTTTTTAGGCCACCCTGCCTTGGTGGGATATGGCTAGTTTGTTTAAACAAAAAAATTAATATAATATTAAATACATAATATTTTTTTTCAACATGTTGGCCATCTCCCACCAAGGTGGGGCAACCCAAAAAATAACAAAAAAAAAAAAAAAAAAACATTTTCGCCATCATTCACACATAATCACTGTCTTTGCAGAGGTGCCCAGATACGACAGTTTTGATGCCACTCCAAACAGCCAATGTCCCCTCCTTTATTTTTACAGTAATTTTGTTTTAAATTAAAAAAAAAAAAAAATAGCCTGGTAAGGCTCTACATTAGGTACCCATTAAGAGATATCTCACCGATTCTCTTCCAGGTATACGATGAGGCACGTAGCTCCTACAAGTCGTTGTGTGGTTCCCCGGAAGTTATGGTGATACCGATAAAACTCCCCAAAAGGAACTCTCTCTTGAAGTGCCTCATACAGTGCTGGTACTCGCGCAAGCTCTGCATGACAATCTGAACAAATTGTCTGGAGATTCTGAAATTACAGTAAATATGAAAACTTGTATATGAAACTTTGAATATCCCATCAAGATCACACAGTATATGGAGACTGGGAAATAATCAGGTTTATTCCACAAGAAAGCAGGGTTGCTCCAGTTCCAGGTTAAAAATTATGTCCATATCATTAACAGAATATCTTATGAATTCTTGTGTCTCAATTATTTATTTTTCTTAATAATTTTGCATTTCATAGTTATTTTATTGGTAACTACTACAGAATTAATACTACAGTATTTAAATATTTGTTTTTATACTCAGAACCCTAAGAAAAGCATTAAATAGAAATCTAGTCCCCATTCATTGTTTCAGTTCATTATTCATTCAGGTACACTATGCAGTAGATGCAGGTTGTGCAGTTTGTATTGTACTGTACTGCAGGGTACTGTATTAGTGTGCTAATGTCTCAGCTCTTATGAAAGTACAGTCTGTTTCACATGACAAGGCAGTATGAATGCGATGTGACAAATACATTTATGATATACATAATCATTCAACTGAAGACATTGTTTCTTCTTTATCTAGAGAGATGTGGCTTAAAAATGAATGAAAATAAATCTACATACCATCATGTCACCAATGTGAGCAATTCATGAACAAAGGGCACATCCGGAATTACATTTACTTGGAAGGATACTTAGTTCAAAGATAAAACTGCTATTGTCCTAACTGTTTTATGTTTCATCCATAAAAATTGGGCTGGATGAAACATAACACAGTAGGGCCCTGCCTATACAGCAGGTTAGGTTCCAGGCTACCCTTTTATCACTTTCAAATGCATATAAAAGCCTGATAACATATTTACACTATCATGTACAGTGGAACCTCGGTACTCACACAATTCGGTATTCAAACGCTTTGTTCGGTAAAATGTTGCTTGGTAGTTGACCGTTTACTTGTCACTCAACCAAACAAGCACGACCTGCCAGAACTTCACTGCAAACTATTTTGTGTTTCTTCGCAAAAAAGAAAATTGGTCTGGAAAAATTTGTTCGGTACTCAAACAGATCGGCACTCAAACAGCCTTCTGGAACGAATTAAGTTTGAGTACCGAGGTTCCACTGTATTCAGTAAGCAATACAGCTAGGCCTAAAAAATGCATATACATTACACACATTACTTACCTTAAAATATATTCATCCATAGCTTATAGTGAGTGGTGAATATATTTATTGTAGTACGTCTGAATAAGTGAAGAATGGGTATAACTGAAAACTGCTGTATTACTGAAATGCTGTAAAGCAAGACCTGCCTGTACAGTATTACTTCTTACTCTTCAAGAAAGCTTTATAAATACTTCATCATTATTCAATGTACAGAAATTACCTATTCACAGCCACAGGAGCAGAGCTATGCTATAAGTGTCCCATCTTCATTAATTTTTTTTAACTCAACAACTGTCTCTTGCCAAGGCAAGGTGACCACCCAAGAAAAAAAACACATTCACCAACATTCATTCAATCAGATCACCCCTCCAACTGAAATATCCCCATCCCTACTTCAGAGCTCAAGTCTGGCTAATATTATAGCTCCTCTTTGGAAACAGGTTTATCAAAATTTATCAATATATTTGAAAGCTATTTTATAGTTAGCTAGTACCTATGGCATTTACACATTCCAATTTCATTTATATAATCTAGTGACTGTTCTTGTATGAATAACAATGTCTACATCATTTTTCTTTGTATGATATTCCAAAAATTTGATCACACAATCTATAATGTATTTTTTTATGTGATCTGATTTTGCTTTATCCTATTTCTGTTACATGGTATTTAAACTATTAAATTCCATCATCACACTCTCACTCCATTTACTCAATTTATCCAGCCATATGGTTTATAAACTTTTCTTTCAACAAACCGGCCGTATCCCACCGAGGCAGGGTGGCCCAAAAAGAAAAACGATCTCTCTTTTTAAATTTAGTAATTTATACAGGAGAAGGGGTTACTAGCCCCTTGCTCCTGGCATTTGAGTCGCCTCTTACAACACGCATGGCTTACGGAGGAAGAATTCTGTTCCACTTCCCCATGGAGATAAGAGGAAATAAACAAAAACAAGAACTAGTAAGAAAACAGAAGAAAACCCAGAGGGGTGTGTATATATATGCTTGTAAATGTATGTGTAGTGTGACCTAAGTGTAAGTAGAAATAGCAAGATGTACCTGAAACCTTGCATGTTCATGAGACAGAAAAAAGACACCAGCAATCCTACCATCATGTAAAACAATTACAGGCTTTCGTTTTACACTCACTTGGCAGGACGGTAGTACCTCCCTGGGTGGTTGCTGTCTACCAACTTACTACTTATATATAAACTTATATAAACTTATTCTGAGCTCACAGATATGGCTTTGTGGCATGAGAATAAATTTACCACAAAGCTTTCGGGGCTGTGAGAAAAGACAGGTCACATGGTGCTGCTGACAGAAACATGAGTAGAAGTTGTTTCTAAAATCTTCCTAAAAGCCTCATTGTTCAGTAGTAGAACACTGGACCTATGTACTTGAGTCATGGTTTAATCAAGACCCTGTCCATTCTTCTGTTTATTCACTGACAGATGTTTATTATGACTTACATTGAGTTCATAGATCACAGGTATGTATATTGTTATTTACATAAAAAGGAACATTCTATCTCTATACCAAAAAGTTATAAAATACTAAAGAAAAAACAACATTTTCATACCTGTATCCCTTCTGCATTATGCATCTTTTCAAGTATAGTACTAATTGTGTAAGAAGTTTTCTCCAGATCTCTTACAGCTGCTTGTACACTTTCACGCACTTCTGTTTCCCGTTCCACACATGATCCATAAGTTGAAAATGCTTCAGTAATATCCATTGCTGCAATTAAAGCTTTTACTTAATATTTCATACAAAATTATAAAAACTCTATGTACTTATAAAAATAATTAAATGTATGACATTCCTTTGTACAGAAAACCTACTTAAACAGCCCAGTGGTCTGGTGGCAAAAGCTCTCACTTCACATGGTGAGGGTCTGGGTTCGATTCCCAGCAAAGGGGTAGAAACATTTCACGTGTTTCCTTACACCAGTTGTTTATGTTCACCCATCAGTAAAATGGGTACCTGGGTGTTAGTCAAATGGTGTGGGTCGCATCCTGGGACAAGACTGATTTAATTTACCCGAAATGCTCTGCATAACAAGCGGTTTTCTATACAGTAGTATGTCACTGATGTCAGCTAGGCCTGTTTACCTTGTACACGTACTTGTAGTAAATAGTTATACTGTATTATTATTATTGTAAAAGACTTGATAAATTGTAATGACATGATTATGAACAATTTGCCACACAGAAGACTAAAGACTATGGCAACCCAGTCCTAATTAGCAGGCCGGTGTGCTATTCACTGACCAATTTGCTGTAGAATTGGCTTGCCATGTGAGTTAAATAAGAATTAATATTTTAAAATATTGGAGTGATAAGGAGTATATCACTGCCATCAGTTAACTACTACACATGTTCACAGGTCTTTACAGTACTCTAGAGGAGTCAAATGTCTTATTAGTCAATGTTCATGACAGGAGAGGTTCCAAGCTCACTGCTGGTATAATAGTCACAACCCATCCACTTAGAAAACTTGTATTTAGAAAGGATTTACATAAAATGCAAAAATAACATTTGCCAATGTGAAGTAGTTTATGTTTGGATTATTAACCCAGTTCTCTCTCTCTCATTTACAACACAGATAAGCATAAATCATAAAATCATAACATCCTTTGTACACAATACAGTACCAGAATCTACACGAGTGGTATCCACTGAGGATATGGGAAGCCTCCAAGCCAATATAAACAAAGTCTTCCAGTGGGCCAATGACAATAATATGACATTCCATGCAGATAAGTTTCAACCATCCCTTTATGGAAAGATTGAGGAAATAAAGTCTGGAACAGAGAATAAAGCAAACTGGAACAGAGACTCAAACAAACTCAAATCACTGAATAGTGTCAGACTACTGTGAGGTACCTTGGAGAAATTATGTGAAAAGATCTAACCTTCAAGGATCACAACAGTGTCACTATTGCAACTGCAAGAAAAATGATAAGCTGGATAACTAGAACCTTTAAAACAAGGGATGCCAAGATAATGATAACACAATGTAAGTCACCTTTTTTCTCAAAGCTGTAGCACAGGCAAAAATGGCACATGTGAAGAAAGTGCAGAGAACCTTCACTGCTCTCACAAACTCAGTCAAGCACTTAAATTACTTGGAAATTGTTAAAATCCCTCAATCTGAACTTCTTGGAATGTAGGTGAGAGATACATTACAATCGACTCCTGGGAAATTCTAGGAAGACCCATTCCAAATCTTCATGAACAAATCTTACCTCATGAAAGGCTTGGCAAACAGTGCAAGGTACCCTCAATAAATAACAAAAAGCAGGGGTGCACTAAGGGAAAACTCGTAAATGTGAAGGAACTTTTTTTCAACATCCTCCCTTTGTACATAATGGGGATTATGAACAGATCCCTGGCTGTCTTCAAGAAAAAACTGGACAAGTTTCTTAAGACATTCCCTGATCAGCAAGGCTATGGTGCCTTTGTTAAACTTCGTATGGCTAGCATCAACAGCCTGGTTGATCAGGCTATCCACCAGGAAGCCTGGACTGGGACTGACCTGCACAGGCACTTTTCTGATAGACTCTAGGTAGAGGGTTAGTAACCCAGGATAACTCTGTAGTAAGAATGTCATTGAGGATTGTCTATGTTATGCTATTTCCATTGCGGGTCCTTTAATCCTATCTCCAAGATATGATCCGCACCACTTATCTAACACCAACAAACTTACTGCTAGGTGAACAGGGGAAGCAGGTGTAAGGCAATATATGCAATGTTTCCACTTGTGCCAGGATCAACCCTGGCCTCAGAGTGCAAATGTAGGCAGCAACCAAGCCACAAGACACCCAAGAACTGGTTTTCCAAGGTTCACATGCCATCTGGTGTTTTCCCACTGTTTAACCAGTTGCTATTACACTGAGTAATGACATTTATATTTAGGTTTAGGGATTTGAACAAGAGCATAGTGTTTTGCCTATATTTTGAGACTAATAGTCCCAATACTGTGGCTGGAGTAATTCACCACAAATCTACAATTAGGAAAAGAAGCCCTTATGACAACATTTCACTATGTTCTGGACCATTGTCAAGTGACTAGACAATGGTCCAGGACCGACCAAAATGTTGTCATAAGGTTCCTCTCCTACATTTTGAGTTTGAAATAGTTCTGACTGCTTTTGTTTGGTAATTAGCTGGAGAGGGTTGCCTAGTTAAGATCCTCTGACACAAGGCAATACCCTGTATGGTGATTGAATACAATAACTTGTGAGTGATAAGGGTCAATAATAATCTGCAAGTGCCGTGGTTCAAGTGGTAGCACCTTCCACCTTCAGCTTCCATCTGAAGGAACTGGGCTTGATTCCAGCTCAAGTGGAGCCTTACACCTGTTAATTTAGTGGGGAGTACATGAGTGTTAGTTGATAGTAATCATGTTTATTTAGGCACAGGTACACATAAGTACAATTATCATACATAAATTGCCTAGGATAACCCAAAAGTGTCAAGAGTGGCTTATTTCCTTGGGTGGGTGGCATCCTGGGGAAGAGGATCAAAGGACCACAGTAGAATAAGCCATAGTGGTTTACTTGTATTATTCTGGGTTAATAACCCTCCATGTCAGCAATCCACATTAAATCTACAATACTTTGAGTGATATGATTTAATATTTCTGAGCCTGTCAATACCATACTTCCTAAGTAACGTCAATACAATAGTTTGTGACATACAAATCACAACAATACTTTGACGGACAACTCACTTTTTAGTGAATGATTTGTCAAATAATATTTCGAGTGAGTGAGGTTAAATCTTCCTCTCCATACAGGTACCAAACAATACCTTGTATGCTAACGACCACAGTCAATACATTATTTTGCATGTGAGTAACGTGTGAGTCAATACAATATTGTGCGAGTGAATGAGATGCTAGTTGTCTTCCTGTTGATGCATGCACAATATAATACCTTGTGTATGAGTGACGTTAGTTAACGCCCGCGAATGTTTTGGTAGACAACGCGAGCAGCTGCTTGTGCTGGTGACGTCACTGATGCGTCACAGTGGACCATGTTGTCACCAATCACGGATGAGAATCCCCGGCACTTGTGACGTCATCAAGCTGCAGGCGGATCTGAAGTTCACGAACGGTCTGGTCCGCCATGCGGTAGAGATGACTGTTGCTATGACGGGTGTCTTACGGGATCCATTTTGAATATTGCAAACTGGATTTGTACTGGGAGTTTAATGAAGCTGTCAAGTCGAATTAATCGGGATGCTATTGAATTTTACAAATTTTATAACATTCTGAAGGATATACGAGATGTCTTATAAAGTTGACAAAACTGTTCGTGCAATTACTTAGGTTTTATATTGATTAAAAACAGTTTATATATATAATCATTATAATTTAAAAAGGTTTGGCTTGTTAGGTAACTGGACACAGATAAAACAAATGTGACATTTTATTGACAAAGCTCCTGGAGAGCGAAACGTTGCCACGATACAATGTCACATTAGTTGCATCTGTGTCCATTTACCCAACATTTGTCGGTAATTTTACCATTATAACTAAGGTTTGGCATGCTTTAAGGGCACATAGAGACCAGTTTGTCAAACTGTTGCAGGAATGTAAGTTTCAGTGTAATAAGAATGCCTTTCTTGATCAGACTGTAACCAGATATAAACGTAAACAGTTCACTGCCACTGTAACCCATTATGTGCCTCTGTAATGTTGAGGTACAGTCCCTGGACCCATTATGTGCCTCTGTAATGTTGAGGTACAGTCTCTGGACGCAATATGTACCTATGTAATGTTAAGGTACAGTCCCTGGACCCATTATGTGCCTGGAGTTTACCTGGAGAGAGTTCCGGGGGTCAACGCCCCCGCGGCCCGGTCTGTGACCAGGCCTCCTGGTGGATCAGAGCCTGATCAACCAGGCTGTTACTGTTGGCTGCACGCAAACCAACGTACGAGCCACAGCCCGGCTGGTCAGGAACCGACTTTAGGTGCTTGTCCAGTGCCAGTTTGAAGACTGCCAGGGGTCTGTTGGTAATCCCCCTTATGTATGCTGGGAGGCAGTTGAACAGTCTCGGGCCCCTGACACTTATTGTATGGTCTCTTAACGTGCTAGTGACACCCCTGCTTTTCATTGGGGGGATGTTGCATCGTCTGCCAAGTCTTTTGCTTTCGCAGTGAGAGATTTTCGTGTGCAAGTTCGGTACTAGGCCCTCTAGGATTTTCCAGGTGTATATAATCATGTATCTCTCCCGCCTGCGTTCCAGGGAATACAGTTTTAGGAACCTCAAGTGCTCCCAGTAATTGAGGTGTTTTATCTCCGTTATGAGCGCCGTGAAGGTTCTCTGTACATTTTCTAGGTCAGCAATTTCACCTGCCTTGAAAGGTGCTGTTAGTGTGCAGCAATATTCCAGCCTAGATAGAACAAGTGACCTGAAGAGTGTCATCATGGGCTTGGCCTCCCTAGTTTTGAAGGTTCTCATTATCCATCCTGTCATTTTTCTAGCAGATGCGATTGATACAATGTTATGGTCCTTGAAGGTGAGATCCTCCGACATGATCACTCCCAGGTCTTTGACGTTGGTGTTTTGCTCTATTTTGTGGCCAGAATTTGTTTTGTACTCTGATGAAGATTTAATTTCCTCGTGTTTACCATATCTGAGTAATTGAAATTTCTCATCGTTGAACTTCATATTGTTTTCTGCAGCCCACTGAAAGATTTGGTTGATGTCCGCCTGGAGCCTTGCAGTGTCTGCAATGGAAGACACTGTCATGCAGATTCGGGTGTCATCTGCAAAGGAAGACACGGTGCTGTGGCTGACATCCTTGTCTATGTCGGATATGAGGATGAGGAACAAGATGGGAGCGAGTACTGTGCCTTGTGGAACAGAGCTTTTCACCGTAGCTGCCTCGGACTTTACTCTGTTGACGACTACTCTCTGTGTTCTGTTAGTGAGGAAATTATAGATCCATCGACCGACTTTTCCTGTTATTCCTTTAGCATGCATTTTGTGCGCTATTACGCCATGGTCACACTTGTTGAAGGCTTTTGCAAAGTCTGTATATATTACATCTGCATTCTTTTTGTCTTCTAGTGCATTTAGGACCTTGTCGTAGTGATCCAATAGTTGAGACAGACAGGAGCGACCTGTTCTAAACCCATGTTGCCCTGGGTTGTGTAACTGATGGGTTTCTAGATGGGTGGTGATCTTGCTTCTTAGAACCCTTTCAAAGATTTTTATGATATGGGATGTTAGTGCTATCGGTCTGTTGCTTTACTGCTCCCTTTGTGGAGTGGGGCTATGTCTGTTGTTTTTAGTAACTGTGGGACGACCCCCGTGTCCATGCTCCCTCTCCATAGGATGGAAAAGGCTCGTGATAGGGGCTTCTTGCAGTTCTTGATGAACACGGAGTTCCATGAGTCTGGCCCTGGGGCAGAGTGCATGGGCATGTCATTTATCGCCTGTTCGAAGTCATTTGGCGTCAGGATAACATCGGATAGGCTTGTGTTAACCAAATTCTGTGGCTCTCTCATAAAAAATTCATTTTGATCTTCGACTCTCAGTCTGGTTAGCGGCTTGCTAAAAACTGAGTCATATTGGGACTTGAGTAGCTCACTCATTTCCTTGCTGTCATCTGTGTAGGACCCATCTTGTTTAAGTAGGGGCCCAATACTGGACGTTGCTCTCGACTTTGATTTGGCATAGGAGAAGAAATACTTTGGGTTTCTTTCGATTTCATTTATGGCTTTTAGTTCTTCCCGCGATTCCTGACTCCTACAAGATTCCTTTAGCTTAAGTTCGATGCTTGCTATTTCTCTGACCAGTGTCTCCCTACGCATTTCAGATATATTGACCTCTTTTAGCCGCTCTGTTATTCTTTTCCATCGCCTGTAAAGGGAACACCTGTCTCTTTCTATTTTACATCCACTCCTCCTTTTTCTTAGAGGAATAAGCCTTGTGCATACATCGAGTGCCACCAAGTTAATCTGTTCTAGGCATAAGTTGGGGTCTATGTTGCTTAGTATATCTTCCCAGCTTATATCGGTTAGGACTTGGTTTACTTGGTCCCACTTTATGTTTTTGTTATTTAAGTTGAATTTGGTGAATGCTCCCTCGTGACTAGTCTCATTATGTCGGTCTGTGGCTCCACGCATATATGTCTGAACCTCAATTATGTTGTGATCTGAGTATATTCTTTTTGATATGGTGACATTTCTTACCAGATCATCATTGTTAGTGAAGATGAGGTCTAGTGTATTCTCCAGTCTAGTAGGCTCTATTATTTGCTGGTTTAAATTGAATTTTGTGCAGAGATTTAAAAGCTCGTGTGAGTGTGAGTTTTCATCAGAGCTGCCTCCTGGTGTTATTACTGCAACAATATTATTTGCTATATTCCTCCATTTTAGGTGCCTTAAGTTGAAATCCACCATGAGCAAGATGTTGGGTGCAGGAGCTGGAAGATTTTCCAGACAGTGGTCAATTTTTAACAGCTGTTCCTGGAATTGCTGGGATGTTGCATCCGGAGGCTTGTAGACTACCACAATGACTAGGTTTTGGTTCTCGACCTTTACTGCTAAAACTTCCACTACATCATTTGAGGCATTTAGCAGTTCTGTGCAAACAAGTGACTCTGCAATGTACAGGCCAACCCCCCCCTTTTGCCTGTTCACTCTGTCACATCTGTATAGGTTGTAACCTGGGATCCATATTTCGTTGTCCAAGTGATCCTTTATGTGGGTCTCAGTGAAAGCCGCGAACATTGCCTTTGCCTCTGCAAGCAGTCCACGGATGAAAGGTATTTTGTTGTTTGTTGCTGGCTTTAGACCCTGTATATTTGCAAAGAAGAATGTCATCGGACTGGTGGTATTGTTGGTACTGGGGGGGGGGGACTTTTTTTCCGGCATTAGTATCTGTATCTGTTGGTTTGGAGTGGATGCCATCGACTGTGGTTCCACTCCAGGAATGACTGGATTTGGTGTACGATTTCTGCCATTTCCTGCCAGTTTTTTTTTCCTTCCTGGCACTAAAAAACCTCTCCCTCTTGAGTGGCAGTGACTACCCAGGTTTTCCCATGGCCTGGATGTTTTGTATCTTTTTGTCCCCTTTAGATGGTGTGCCTGGCAATTTAAGTTATAGCACAGTCTTTCCTGTACTGAAGAGGTACACATTTCAGGGTGAAAAAGCTTACAGGAAGGGAGTTTGCATTTTCCTGTTGTCATATGGGCACGTCATTTTCTAGGGTGGTCATAGTTGCACGTCCCGTCTGTTTTTCCAGATTTCCCATGTCTGCAGATACCAAGTGCATAGTATGTGCACAGGCTTGGTTTCTGTTTGCCTTGGTTTTCTGTGACTGTATTCCCTGTTGGTGCATGTTTCCCTGTCTTATGTATAAATGTAAGTAACCATTCTTACAGGATTCATTACCTTTGTAACTTGTGAGTTCATTACCTTTGTAAATTGTGAGTTCATTACCTCTGTAACTTGCTCAGCTATCAAAATTTTGGAGTCCAGTCCCTGGACCAATTATGTACCTCTGTAATCTTTTGACTTCCGCCCACAGTATGGGTATGGGGTGCATAATAAACATATTAAACTAAAAAATCTAACTAGTAACCTTCACTACACAACACTGTGGTAACCTTCACTACACAACACTATAATAACCTTCACTACACAACACTGTAGTAACCTTCACTAAACAACACTGTGGTAACCTTCACTACACAACACTGTGGTAACCTTCACTACACAACACTGTAGTAACCTTCACTAAACAACACTGTGGTAACCTTCACTACACAACACTGTGGTAACCTTCACTACACAACACTATAATAACCTTCACTACACAACACTGTAGTAACCTTCACTACACAACACTATAATAACCTTCACTACACAACACTATAATAACCTTCACTACACAACACTGTGGTAACCTTCACTACACAACACTATAATAACCTTCACTACACAACACTGTAGTAACCTTCACTAAACAACACTGCAGTAACCTTCACTATACAAAGTAGTAGTAACAATAAATACACTGAGAACATATATAAGTTGAGGATATACAGACCGAGAGGGTTATACATTTAAACATAATCTAGGTGAAAGCACTCCATAAAAAACAATTCTGTGGTAACTTAATTTAGACAAATATATTATATATGTGAAGTGGTGGTGACAGAGCTTTTCAGAGATAGTTTACAAATCTTCACTTGGTATTTGTATCCAGTATTATATATTTGTAAGTCCAGCGTCTAAACATGGCCGAGATAAGAAAGCGATGGTGGGTTTGGCTGGTGGAAGTCATCTTCCTTCTAGTTGTGGCTACTGATTTAACCTGCCTTATGTATGGAAAGTATGACCTTGGTCAACCTCTAGATGATAAACAAAAAGATTTATCAATCGTTAAAGTCAAAAACCAGTTTTACAAGTATCTAGAGGATACCAACAAATTTATCACTGTTGACAACGTAATTTTTGGTAATGAGCTGACAACCGATGAGACAAAAGAAGTCAAAATGTCTTTAAAGATATGTACCATCACACTCGCTTCTGTGGTCACAATATGGATTCTCAGTTTTGTTGCCCCAATGCTCAGCTTTATCTTCATGCAAATTTGGGTGCTGTATGCCGGCTTCTGGGCAGATGATTACGTGGAAAAAGCTGTTGTGGTGTTGCAGTACATTCAAGTTCGCCTCCCAATGTATGCATTTCAATCCCTGGAGCCTGATGATATGATATGGTCTGAAGGATTACTTTTTTGGTGGTGGGAGATCAAGGTAACTTTCATCTACGCTGCTTCTACGTTTTCCATATATAGCTATTTACGTAGAAGTCTTCACTCCTGCACTCCACAAGACGTAGAACCTGGCTTCACAGATGTAAGGACCTCTCCACATGATGTGGAGTTTGGCCCTACACTGAATGAGGTCAGGACTCCCCTCAACACCAGAGCACAAAGGTTCCTGTTCATCTTACATCGGCTATTCGTTGCCCATCTATCAATGCGAGGATCTACAAGTATGACTACCAATTATCTGGCACCACAGTTACCAGGCCAGGTGGCACCACAGTTACCAGGCCAGGTGGCACCACAGTTACCAGGCCAGGTGGCAGCACAGTTACCAGGCCAGGTGGCAGCACAGTTACCAGGCCAGGTGGCACCACAGTTACCAGGCCAGGTGGCACCACAACCCTCATGTGGTCTTCTATGGCAGGTTCTTCAATCCTATGCCTCCCATGCACGGTCTCAACCACCACCTGCCAGACAAGCTCTCCAGGTGTGATGAGCTTTAAGGATCATTTTAATTTTAAGGATTGTTTTATTTCTTTAGGATCATTTTTGTTTTTATTTTTGGTGAGACATTTTGAACAATATTTGATTTTGGACGAAGAACAGTATTTTTTGTAAGGAATATTAAGTATAATTATTTTTTAGGATCATTTTTATTTTTATTTTTGGCGAGACATTTTGAGCAATATTTCATTTTGGATGAAGAACAGTAATTTTTTGTAAGGAATATTAAGTATAATTTTATTTTATTTGGTACGGAATCATTGTATCAGTATAACATGTCAGCTGGAGCGGAAATTAGGGAAGTTCAGCAAGAGAGAAATATTTGTACTGATCTATCGTCGGCTAAATTAGTTGACGATAGATCAGTACGTCCTAAATTACAATCCGACTCGGCTTGTAATTTTGGAAGTGAGTCAAGCTTGAAGGTTTTGGAGAGTGAGTAGAATGAAAGTAGAGATATGGTTATGCCAATGTGGAGAAAATGCTACAACACCAGAGAGATGGTCATACTTTATGACCAATACGAGGCTTAACGCTTGGCTTTTATTTTTTTTTATATTATTAACACATCGGCCGCTTCCCACCAAGGCAGGGTGGCCCAAAAAAAAAAATCACTTTCACCGTCATTCACTCCATCACTGTCTTGCCACAGGCGTGCTTACACTACAGTTATAAAACTGCAACATTAACACCCCACCTTGTCTTTTAACATACTACTACTACTACTACTACTAGTAGTAGTAGTAGTAGTAGTCTACTAATACTACTATTACTACTACTACTACTAATAATAATAATAATAATAATTTTTTTATTATTATCACACTGGCCGATTCCCACCAAGGCAGGGTGGCCCGAAAAAGAAAAACTTTCACCATCATTCACTCCATCACTGTCTTGCGAAGGGTCTTTACACTACTTTTTTAAATGAAAAATTAACACCCCCTTCAGATGCGGGCACTGTATTCCCATCTCCAGGCTCAACCCGGCCTCCCGGTTTCCCCTAATCCCTTCTAAATGTTATTTGCCTCACACTCAAACAGCACGTAAGTATTAAAAACCCATTTGTCTCCATTCCCCCTTCAAACACCTCCCGCTCCCCTGTGGAAGTCCAAGCCCTGCACACAAAACCCCCCTTTACCCCCCCCCCCCAACCTTTCCTGGCCGACCCCACCCCGCCTTCCTTAAATACAGACTATACATCTTGAAGTCTTTTTTTTCGTCCATTCTCTCTACAGTCCAAACCACCTCAACAACCTTCCTCACCCTCTGGACAACAGTTTTGGTAATCCCCCCCTCCCCCCTAATTTCCCAAACTAGAATTTCTCTTATTTCACCCCACACATTGCCTAGACATGACATCTCACTGCCCCCACCCTTTCCTCGCTGCAACATTCTCACCCACGCGTTGTAAAAACTATCCTCATCTTTCCCCCTCTTTGCCCCCAAGGGACAAAGTTCTTTGTCCCCACAGACTCCTAAGTGCCCACTACTCTTTTTCCCTATCAATTCTATGTTTCCCTCATCTTTAAGACCCATCTGCTGAACGCCCACCCCCAAAATATCTGAATCTTCACCTCCCCCTACTCTCTCCCCCAATTGTTCCTCTTTCATCACAATCTTTTGTTATCCTCAAAACCCTTTACTCTTTCCGTATTCACCTTTAATTTTCTTTTTTTTCACCCCCTACCAAATTCATCCACCAATCTCGCAACTTCTCTTCAAATTCCCAAAGCCAGTGTCACAGCAAAGAGCAAACGTGACAACTCCCACTTTGTGTGTTCTTTTTCTTTTAACTCCACGCCTCTTGCCAAACCTCACATTTACTTCTCTTAAAAACCCCATCTAAAATATTTTAAAAAACCCACGGTGACATCACACATCCTTGTCTAAGGCCTATTTTTACGGGAAAAAATTTCCCTTTTTCTAATTTAATTTGGCCCTCACTATCCTCGTAAAAACTCTTCACTGTTTTCAGTAACCTACCTCTACACCTACACTTGCAACACTGCCACTTTGCCCCCCTATCCACCTGTCATACGTTTTTCCAAACCATAAATGCCACAAAGACCTCTTTGCCTTATCTAAATACTTTCACTTATATGTTTCATGTAAACCCCTGGCCCAACCCCCCTCCCTTTCCTAAGCCTCCTTTTCATCTGCAAATCCTATTTCCCGTCTTACTCTTAATTCTTTAATTAAAAACTTCCCATCACTTTCCGGGTATACTCAACGACTTTCCCCATAATTTTTGCACTCTTTTTATCCCTTTGCCTTTATAAAAGGAACTTTGCATGTCCTGCCAATCCCTAGTATTTTCCCCTTTTCCCTACATTTATTAAATTTTGCCCCAACCACCCAAAAATATCCCACCTGCTTTTAACATTTTATCTTTATCCCATCAACCCCGGCTGCCTTACCCCCTTTCTTTTCCCTATGCCTCACGAACTTCCCCCACATCAAACTGGTTTTCCTCACTCCTACAAGATGTTTTTCCCCTTGCCCTATACACGAAATCACAGCTTCCCTATCTTCATCAACTTTTAACATTCCCTAAAAAATTTTCCCCTCCTTTCCCAATACCTCTAACTCCCCTTTTATAACTCTCCTCTCCCTTTTTAAATACAAATCCATTTTTTCTCTAGGGGTTTCTTAACTTGTTAATCTCACTCCAAAACTTTTTCTTATTTTCAACAAAATTTTTTGATAAAATTCACCCATCCTCATTTCTTCTCTGTACATTTTTCACCACTCTCTTAACCTCTCCTTTTTCTCCCTTACTCTTCCCTCCCTTTCATCACTTTTTATTTTTAAAAAACTTTTTTCTATGCTAACTTTTTCTCCCTTACTACTCTTTACATATCATTCCCCAATCGCTCCCCTTCCCCCTGCACCAACCCCTTTCCCCCTAAAACCCCAAAATTTGCTGAACACTCAACACTACATTTTTTAAACCTACCCCATACCTCTTCGACCCCATTGCCTTCTCCATTGCCTCTATCCTCCAATGTGTTTATTTTACCCTAACTGCCTCCTCTTTTAGTTTAAAACCTTCACCCTCTCTTCCCTGAGCTTCTATTTCCTTTTATCCCCTTACCTTTTTCTTCAGTGTTGTACAACTAGAAAGTGATCTGTATATCTTGGCCCCTCTATATAATGACATATGAAGTCTACTCAAAAGCTTTTTTTTACCAATACATAATCCAACAAACACGTCTTTTCCCCCACATCTATTTGTATACTTATTTTTCCCTTTTCTTAAAAAAGTATTTCCCCTAACTAAAACCCCTTTTATACAAGTTCAATCAAAGGGATCCCCTTATTAGCATCTGCTAGAAAAATGACAGGATGGAAATGAGAAAACCCTTTAAAATGGGGGCCAAGCCCCTGATGACACTCTTCAGGGACTTGTTCTATCAGGGTGGAATAAATTTTTTTCTGCACACTAACAGCCCTTTCAAGGCAGGTGAAATTGCCGACCTAGAAAATGTACAGAGAACTTTCACGGCGCGCATAACGGAGATAAAACACCTCAATTATTGGGAGCGCTTGAGGTTCCTAAACCTGTATTCCCTGGAACGCAGGAGGGAGAGATACCTGGAGTTTACCTGGAGAGAGTTTCGGGGGTCAACGCCCCCGCGGCCCGGTCTGTGACCAGGCCTCCTGGTGGATCAGCGCCTGATCAACCAGGCTGTTGCTGCTGGCTGCACGCAAACCAACGTACGAGCCACAGCCCGGCTGATCAGGAACTGTCTTTAGGTGCTTGTCCAGTGCCAGCTTGAAGACTGCCAGGGGTCTGTTGGTAATCCCCCTTATGTGTGCTGGGAGGCAGTTGAACAGTCTCGGGCCCCTGACACTTATTGTATGGTCTCTTAACGTGCTAGTGACACCCCTGCTTTTCATTGGGGGGATGGTGCATCGTCTGCCAAGTCTTTTGCTTTCGTAGTGAGTGATTTTCGTGTGCAAGTTTGGTACTAGTCCCTCTAGGATTTTCCAGGTGTATATAATCATGTATCTCTCCCTCCTGCGTTCCAGGGAATACAGGTTTAGAAACCTCAAGCGCTCCAGTAATTGAGGTGTTTTATCTCCGTTATGCGCGCCGTGAAAGTTCTCTGTACATTTTCTAGGTCGGCAATTTCACCTGCCTTGAAAGGTGCTGTTAGAGTGCAGCAATATTCCAGCCTAGATAGAACAAGTGACCTGAAGAGTGTCATCATGGGCTTGGCCTCCCTAGTTTTGAAGGTTCTCATTATCCATCCTGTCATTTTTCTAGCAGATGCGATTGATACAATGTTATGGTCCTTGAAGGTGAGATCCTCCGACATAATCACTCCTAGGTCTTTGACGTTGGTGTTTCGCTCTATTTTGTGGCCAGAATTTGTTTTGTACTCTGATGAAGATTTAATTTCCTCATGTTTACCATATCTGAGTAATTGAAATTTCTCATCGTTGAACTTCATATTGTTTTCTGCAGCCCACTGAAAGATTTGGTTGATGTCCGCCTGGAGCCTTGCAGTGTCTGCAATGGAAGACACTGTCATGCAGATTCGGGTGTCATCTGCAAAGGAAGACACGGTGCTGTGGCTGACATCCTTGTCTATGTCGGATATGAGGATGAGGAACAAGATGGGAGCTAGTACTGTGCCTTGTGGGACAGAGCTTGTCACCGTAGCTGCCTCGGACTTTACTCTGTTGACGACTACTCTCTGTGTTCTGTTAGTGAGGAAATTATAGATCCATCGACCGACTTTTCCTGTTATTCCTTTAGCGCGCATTTTGTGCGCTATTACGCCATGGTCACACTTGTCGAAGGCTTTTGCAAAGTCTGTATATATTACATCTGCATTCTTTTTGTCTTCTAGTGCATTTAGGACCTTGTCGTAGTGATCCAGTAGTTGAGACAGACAGGAGCGACCTGTTCTAAACCCATGTTGCCCTGGGTTGTGTAACTGATGGGTTTCTAGATGGGTGGTGATCTTGCTTCTTAGGACCCTTTCAAAGATTTTATGATATGGGATGTTAGTGCTATTGGTCTGTAGTTCTTTGCTGTTGCTTTACTGCCCCTTTGTGGAGTGGGGCTATGTCTGTTGTTTTTAGTAACTGAGGGACGACCCCGTGTCCATGCTCCCTCTCCATAGGATGGAAAAGGCTCGTGATAGGGGCTTCTTGCAGTTCTTGATGAACACAGAGTTCCATGAGTCTGGCCCTGGGGCAGAGTGCATGGGCATGTCATTTATCGCCTGTTCGAAGTCATTTGGCGTCAGGATAACATCGGATAGGCTTGTGTTAGTCAAATTTTGTGGCTCTCTCATAAAAAATTCATTTTGGTCTTCGACTCTCAGTCTGGTTAGCGGCTTGCTAAAAACTGAGTCATATTGGGACTTGAGTAGCTCACTCATTTCCTTGCTGTCATCTGTGTAGGACCCATCTTGTTTAAGTAGGGGCCCAATACTGGACGTTGTTCTCGATTTTGATTTGGCATAGGAGAAGAAATACTTTGGGTTTCTTTCGATTATATACACCTGGAAAATCCTAGAGGGACTAGTACCGAACTTGCACACGAAAATCACTCACTACGAAAGCAAAAGACTTGGCAGACGATGCACCATCCCCCCAATGAAAAGCAGGGGTGTCACTAGCACGTTAAGAGACCATACAATAAGTGTCAGGGGCCCGAGACTGTTCAACTGCCTCCCAGCACACATAAGGGGGATTACCAACAGACCC